ATATACAGAGAGGAGAGACACAGAGGAAAATCTTCAATCTGCTGGTCAACTCCCAAGTGGCCGCAACAACCAGAGCTGAGCCGATCTGAAGCCAGGAGTTTCTTCTGGGTCTCCTGCGTCGTGGGTGCAGGATCCCAACGCTTTGGGCCATCTTTCACTGCTTTCCCAGGTCACAAACCTAGGTGGGAAGTGAGACCATTGGGACACAATCTGGCTGCCATATGGAATCCTGGCATGTGAAAGGCAAGGACTAGGCTATTGTGCCAGGCCCAGTTTTTTTGTTGTTTTTAAGATTGTCTTTATTTGAAAGGCAGATTTGCAGAGAGGAGAAACAGAGATCAGTCTTCCATTTGCCTGATCACTCCCCAGAAGGCCAAAATGGCAAGAGTTGAGCTGAGCCAAAAATGGGAGCTGTTAAGATTCTTTTTCCAAATCTTCCTTGTGATTGCAGTCCCAGGACCTTGGGCCATCTTCACTCCCATCTCAGGCTATAAGCTGAGACCTGGATCGCAAGTGGACCAGCCAATACAGGAACCTGCACTAGCCTGTTTTTTTCATTTTGGCCAGAAACTCCAGGAATCTAAAGACTAGCAATTATTTTATAGTTTGGCTAGACCATGAATATAAGTTAGGTACTACTGCAAAAATTGAGTTCTACAAACAGTGCAGTTATTTCCAGCATGCCCAGAATGTTGTCTGCCATAGTGTTGACTCCTGATAGCTATTTTTCTATTGTGTTAGAACTTTTACCAGAGGAACAACAGCAAACAGGCGAACAGTTAAGTGTCATTTAAGGTCGCCGTGAACTTGTCATTTGTTGGAGATTACAAGTAAAAATTTAAATAGGATACAATGTATGGAGGATAGGAGGCTCATACAGTGCTGCTAATTTATTACCAGGGTGACTTGGTTTGGGGAGATGAAAAATTAGCAGTAGTAATTCAAGATGAGTGCTTGGTTTTCAGGCAGCTAATACAGTTCTTCTTGTCTTCAAAGTACAAAAAATGATGTAATATGGGGTTAAATTATTTTTAGAATCAAAGTTCAAGTCATAGCCGAAGTCCTTTTCTGTGAAACAGCAAATACAATTTTTATTCAAAATCTTTAATTTCTCCTCTCTTTAAGTCATCCTTATGGCTTTATATCATAGAGTAACAAGATGCCAATGATACACCAGGGTGTATGTTTGCATAAATTTAAGAGGTTTTTAAGTAATTAAATAATTCATGCCATTCAATATTATGTAAAATTGAGAATTGAATGTTAAGACCACTGGCTTGGTATTTAAAAGGTAATCATCAGGGAAGAATATTTAGCACCACATCTTACAGTTCATGTCCCAAATACTGTAGTTCCCTTCCAGCTTTGTATTACTCTGCACCCTGGAAAGCAGAAAATATTGGCCCAAGTGCTTGGGTGCCTACCACCCTGGTGGAGTTTGGGGCTGCAGTTTATCCTGGTCCAGCACCGGACTCTTGTAGCATTTGGGAAGTGAATCACTAGGTAGAATATAGATTTTCATTAAATAAATAAATACATTTTTCTTCTCTCTCTGCCATTCAAATAAGATGGAAGTATTTTTTTTAAAGATTTATCTTTTTATTTGAAAGACAAATTTTACTGAGGTTAAACAGCAAAAGACCTTCCATTTGCTGCTTTACTCCCCAAAAGGCCAAAATAGCCAGAGTTGAACTTATCCAAAACTGGAAACCAAGAGCTTTCCTTCAAGCCTGCCATATGGGTAGTAGAGGGTCCCAAGGACTTGAGCCAACAGAGAGCTGGATCTGAAATGGAGTATCCAGGACATGACCAATGTCCATCTGGAATGCCAACTCCACAAGTTGAAGAATTAGCTTGCTGCACCACTGTACCAAACTCAGAACATAAATATTTTTAAATATCTTAAAAGATTGTTTATAGAGGCAGATATCAGGCTACAGATGAGTCACAAAAATAACAAGTTAAGAAAAAGACTTAAATGATCAGATTTTCTTCCCACAATGCCCTCTTAATACATTTATTTGAAACCCAGAGTTGCAGAAAGAGAAGATAGAGAGCTTCTACCCTAACCCCCTGGTTCATTCCCCAGATGGCCACAATGGCTAGGGCTGGGCCAGGCCAATCCCAGGAAACAGGAGCTTCTTTCACAGCTCCCACAAAAGTAGCAGTGACCAATCTCTCGGTGCTGGGAAACGAGAACACAAACCAGCACCCATATAATATACCAGTGTTTTAGTCAGTGAGTTTATGTATTAAGCTACAATGCTAGTCCAAATCTGGTTTTTTTTAAATGTTATTTTATTTATTTGAAAGGCATTGTTATAAAGAGGGGAGAGAAACAGAGACTTTCCATTCACTAATTTAATTCCCAAATAGTTGCAGTGGCTGAGACTTAGCCAGGCCAAAGTCAGGGTCTTCCCCATGAGTGGGTGACAACGTCATAGCTGCATAGGCGTCTTCCACTGCTTTCCCAGATGCATTAGTAGAGAGCTGTGTCATAGTGTGGTAGCCAGCACAGGAACCAGCAGTGCTCCCAGGATGCCAGTGTCACAAGTAGCAACTTAATCTGCTGGGCTACAATGCTCACCCCGAAGAATCAGTTATTAATATCCTTTTTCTACCAGGAAACGAGTGGTTATTTTGTCAGGATCTTGGAATCACAGTTTGTTAATTTAACCCGTTAAACAAATAAATGTTGAACAAGCAAATTTTGTGTCTCTCCAGGTGCAAGTTGTTGATGTCCTACAATAAGCAACTGGTGTTATTAGCTACCTATTTGCAAAGTATTAGAAATGCTACTCTTTATTGATTGGTTGGTTGGTTGATTTTTATTTGAAAGACAAAGTTGCAAAGAAAAATGAGAGAGAAAGTCTTGCATCCATTGATTCACTCTCCAAATGTCCATAACAGCCAGAGCTGAGCCATTTAGAAGCCTGGAATCTTCAAGTCTCCCATTTGAATGCAAGATCCCAAGAGCTTGAACTGTCCTCTACTCTCCTGAGCCAAAAGCAGGGAGCTAGATTGAAAGTGGGGTATCTCATATGGGATGCTGATGCTGCAAGGGGAAACTTACCACCAGCGATGCCATGGCATCAACCCCAGCAGTGCTACTTTAAAAATAATTTATAACTTCCTGTGTTTGTAATGGGAATCTGGATGGATACATACAGAATTAAAATGAGAATGGTTTTGGGCCCGGCGCGGTGGCGCAAGTGGTTAATTCCTCGCCTTGCACGCCTGGGATCCCATATGGGCGCCGGTTCTAATCCCGGCAGCCCCGCTTCCCTTCCAGCTCCCTGCTTGTGGCCTGGGAAGGCAGTCGAGGACGGCCCAAGGCTTTGGGAACCTGCACCCGCGTGGGAGACCCGGAAGAGGCTCCTGGCTTCGGATCGGCATAGTATCGGCCCGTTGCGCTCACTTGGGGAGTGAATCATCGGATGGAGGATCTTCCTCTCTGTCTCTCCTCTCTGTATATCCGCCTTTCCAATGAAAAAATAATAAAAATAAATCTTTAAAAAAAAAAATGAGAATGGTTTTAGAATTGTAGCTTTCAGAGCTGTCAAAGTTCTAATTGCTTTCCTTCAGAAATTTCTTTCTGAAGTTTGTTGTAGTCTAGGCTGTTGTCTAGTGTTTACCAGGTGGGTAAAGGTTTTATATTTCAGAAGGCACATGTATAATAATGTTGACCATTGTGCATATATGTTAGGGTCATTCACTAAATGTGAGGATCATGTCATAATATTATATCAAAAGACTTCCAAAACTAGAAAGTATGTCTTGTAGAGGTAGTAAGATGAGATGGAAATCTTAAAAGTTTTTGAAGCAGAGGAGTAAAATATTGCTTTATTTAAGGGTTCTTTTTGGTGTCCTGTAGCCACCTCTCAGCTAAATATTTGTATACAGCATATAGAGTTTCCCTGATTTAGGTCATTTCTGCTCTGTGTTTTCTAAAATCTGCCAATCTTTTTTTTTTTTTAAATAGATGGTGGTAGACAGTACTACTTTGTTCTTTCCAGGTACTCTTTGGCTCCTGCAGCTGATGTCAAATGTAGGAGCAACCAGAAATGTTTAAGAGAAAAAGAATATGTCAGAGTCCAGCAGGGACCGGGAGATAGTGCAAAACTATGTGACTGCATGATTCAGATCTGGAAGGACACAGCTGGTTGTTTTTGCGTGTGTGTGTGTGTGTGTGTGTATGTATTGGCCATATTAAAGGGACAATATTGCCAGTAGTGTAATTTTAGTCGCCTGAATGTGTTAATGCTTTCCTGAAAAGAATAAAACCTATGGCAGTGAAGTTACTAGTCACATGAATTTGAGTAGAATTGAATTTGTCATTTAAATCAGTACAATGAATTAGTGCTATTAGTTTCAAAGTCATATTTTAAGGGAGCTTGCCTTATGGCACTGCATTTGTTGGAATCCTGACTGCTCTTCTTTTAATCCAGCTGTCTGTTAATGGCCTGGAAAAGGCTCAAATATTTGAACTCTTGTACCCATGTAAGAGACCAGACTAGACTTCTGGCTTAACCTAGCCGCACCCTGTGTGTAACCATCTAGGGAGTGAACCAGCTAATGGAAGATCACTTCTTTCTCTGTCCCTCTGTGACTCTTAGTTAAATTTTAAAAAGAAAAATCATAATGGGTATTATGGACACTCACTTGTATTTATCTCTTGTCAGTAAAACATTCAGCTGTATTCTTTGGCACCACCTTAACCTGATGCTTTTAGTTTGTATTGCTTCTAATAAAAAAGAAAGCCCTTAAAAAGCCAGTTAGAACAAAGCCATACTTAAAAACTTAGACAATATGATAGTTTCAAAATCTTACCTGAAACTATTGTGAAGTAGTTGCTAATGAAGTACAGGTTATGAATTTGTACTTTTGCATACATTTAAATGAAGAAACTTTCTTCAAGCCTTAGAACACATAGGAAGAAAAGTTGGTGGTATTGTTAGGAGAGCATAACATGGTCCTTTTCTTTTAATCTGTAATTCTAGGACGACATAGACAGCCTAAATCCAGTTCTCAGGGACAACCCGCAGCTTCACGAGGAAGTGAAAGTCTGGGTAAAGGAACAAAAGGTTCAGGAGATTTTTATGCAAGGTAACTATTTTGAAGTTAATGCATTAATTTTTTGAACTAGCCAACTTAGCCCTTTGTCTTGTATTGTTCAAGTTTACATAATGTAAGTAGAAAACCAATCTAATATTTTGAATTACATTCAGTCCAGAGAAAATATTAACAGAATCATAATTATTTCCCTAAAAATTGATGAATTCACTGGTGTATTAACTAATTCAAAGTAAACATCTGCAATAAAATTTCAGCCAGGTGTTTCCTTAATTGGAAACTTTCCATAAGACAATATTTGAGGTGTGTCTTTCCTAGAGAAGGAAGCATTGTTTGCCTTAAAGTGTTGCCCAAAGCCACAACTAATTTTCTATGAAAAGTGCTGTCTGTATCTGATAGAAGTGGACTGCTTTCGTCCATGTTTCTCAGCAATTACCTCAATACTAATCTTAGTTATTTCCTTTGTTTAATAAGTTACAGGTTTGTTTACAACACATGACCTTCAAACCAGTGAGGTTTTATAATTAATGATTACTTTTTATATTTATATCAGTGAAATCATATTTGAAAGATAAAAGCTTTTTTGTGAATTGCTTGTAATTTTGAGATAATGTGCTATGAACTTTTATGTTGAATGTTAAGAATGGCATTTTGTGCTGAAATTTCCAAATTTACTTCAGCCCTGAACTTTTGTGCCTTTAAACATTAATGAAGATAATCTCATAGCTGTGGCTGTTTTGCTTTACAGCAACAGATAATCTACATGATAAATTCTTCTTATACTAATTACTATTTAAACTGTATTGTGGGGAGTTTGGAGCGTACACAAAAATAGTGTTAGTAATTTCTATATAACTGTCTCCTCAGCAGATTCTGCTCTCTCATCCATGTTTTCTCTATATCCATTGAATTTCAGATCACATTATTATTTAATTTTTCAGAAATTTGTGTTTATTCATGTACTTTAAAGGCAGAGAAACAGAGTGCCCCATTCCCTGGTTTACTCCCCATAATGCTTACAGTAGCCAGGTCTACTACCCCTTTCCCAAGGTGTACATTGACAGGAGACTTAAGTCTTGAATGAAGCTAGACCCAAGGCAGTGGGCATCCTAACTTTAATATCAACTGTCAGGTCAAATGCTCACCGCTGTCCTTTGTTAAACAAGACTCCCTACTTGTTATGCTGGAAAAAATAATTGTACTTCAATATTAAGTATGATATATGTAGTCAGGTTCATGTTCTCATTTCTGTCGAGTCATATTTGATTTTATTTAATATTTTAAAATTAGGAAAAGCAGAAAAATCCCACAAATTGTGATTGCTATGTCCCCTACTTTACTTTTTTACCCCTTCCCTTGCAATTTATTTGAGAAACCACACTAATTTCTTTGAAACAAGTGCTTTTTGTTCTTCAGTATATCCTTAGGAGAGATAAGATTAAGGCATTAATATTGACAGTTCTATTAATTTTACACAGAATTGTGTGAGGCAGACTCCAAATGCTGCTGTTAGGTAGGACAAGCCAGTGTTTGTTAGTAATAATAGTTTGTTGATGGGAGTCGAAAGCTGGTCATATTTAAAGTTATTCTGTATTATTAAGCATTTTCTATTTTTAAAAAAAACGGTCATAGAGAAGAAATAAATTTATACAATACATTTTAGCTTACAAACAGTGTTTTCCTATTATCTCCCTTAAATTATGCTTGGCAGACATCTTTATTTTTCTGTAGATGAATACATTCATGGGTCGTATGGAATATTTTCTACAGAAATGTAAATTTATGGTTTTAGGCTGATGTTTTAAAGCTACTAAATAGATAAGCGATTAATTAAACCATTAGTTCGTATATTGAGTCACTTACACTATAGAAAAATACATCAGCCTACGAATCAGAAAAATAAATTTAGTCATAAATGTTTTGCTTAAATATTTACTTAATCTGTTGACTTCTCTTAACTGTTATAAAAGGGATATCAATATCTAAGAATTGGAAAGGGATAAAGAGATATTTAGAAGTTTGAAAACAATGTAAATAGTTTGTATATACACTGCTTCTGTTTGTGTGTGGTAGCTTCCCCTCAACAGTAAGTTCAAAGTACTTGATAGAATTTTTTGGTGCTTTTGAACTGGAAATTTCATCTCCATTACTGTCTCCTCTTGTGAAATGACCTTTGTTCTAATAGGAATATCTGAACATAACATGTAGATCCTACAACATTTAATCCTCCCTTGTGTTTGAGAAAAAATAGTTGAACCCCAAGTGCACTTTATTTTTTCTTAGGAAAACAGTAAGTGCTAAATTTAAATATTTCACCTAACAATCTCTTCATGTTTTAAGACTATCAACAACATTTGCTTAGGTATTACTGCCAAATCCAAATTTTGTGGGAGACTGTGATAAAAGTTTTGAAACTGGGAAACTCCGACATCAAAGTCTAAATTATTTTTGTATTTCAGCCATGTTGTCATCCATCCCAATTTTATTAAGTAGCTTTGTAATCGTAATATACTGTTAAGCACGGTATCTTTATATTTTATATTCTGCTTATTTCATGAACTTAGAAACTTTTTGCCTACTTGTTTTATTTTCATTGAGTCAGGAATAGTTTGTACATATCATAGTTTGAGAATTATCTATTTTAAATGACTTTACCTTTTGGTTTCTTTATTTTCAAATCTAATCTTTGGATATATTATACATCTATCACATTTCACAGATTTCTCCTAAAAGGTAGTTCCTAAATATCTTCATTTAAAGATATCTGTTTTTTGTGTATTTTTTAAAGGTCCTTACTCCTTAAATGGATATAGAGTGAGAGTATATAGACAAGACTCTGCCACCCAGTGGTTTACTGGTATAATTACTCATCATGATCTCTTCACCCGCACCATGATCGTTATGAATGATCAGGTAAACACTAACTGGTATTTCTGAAATGAGATTTTTACAATATATGTAGTCTGTGCCAACAGTTTGGCACTAAATAATTTTCATCTCTTAGGTTTTTACACTATACTAATATGAATAATAAATTTAAATTCACCGATGTCACATAGCTCTAAGTCACTTCAAATGAAAGGGATACTGACACCAGATTTATTTCAACTCATGCAAGATCAGTCCTTGAAATAAGCGTCAAAATCTTTTCTTGATTAGTCTTCATTTTAACTGAGATTACCTGATTTTTTTTTTTGTTTACTTGAAATCTTTTTCTGTCCATTTAAAAAAAAATAGCAAATTTCTTTTCACCTTTAATATACATTATATGTAACAGAACTTCTTTATAAACGATTCAAATACTTTGGTTAGAATTTAGTTAAAACACTAAGCAAATGGTACTAGGTAGCCAAACTTTCCACATTTCAGAAAAAGATCATTTGAAGAACGAGGTACAGATAGAGAAAGGGAAAGACAGAGGGAGAGAACGAGTGAGATCTTCCATCCACTGGTTCACTCCCTAGGTGACCACACTGGTCAGGACTAGACCAGCCTAAAGCAAGAAATTTCTTCTAGGTCTCTGTCAGGGGTACAAGGGTTCATGCACCTAGTGATCTTCCTCTGTTTTTTCTTGCCCATCAGCGGAGACCTGGATTAGAAGTAGAACAGCCAGGACCTGACCAGTGCCCATATGGGATGCTGACATTGTTGGCTGTGTCTTTACTCACAATGCCACAGCCCTGGATCCACCCATTCACCTCATTTTTTTTTTTTTTAAGATTCCCCCCCCCCCCCATTTGAAATGCAGATTACAGAGGAGAAGGTGGAGAGACAGAAAAATCTTCCATGTGCTGATTCATTCCCCACAATGGCCACAATAGCCAGAGCAGAGCCAATCCAAAGGCAGGAGTTTCTTTTGGGTCTCCCATGTGAGCGCAGGGTCCCAAGGCTTTGGGTCATCCTCAGCTGCTTTCCCAGGCCTTGATCAGGGAACTAGATGGGAAGTTGAGCAGTGGAAACAGGAACCTGCACCCTTAGGGGATCATGGCAAATGCAAGGTAAGGATTTAGCCACTAGATATCCACACTGGGCTCCATCATTTACACTTAAGACGTACAAAATTGCTTTCAGTTGTACAAATAATTCTTTGGACCTGGCGAATAACTTAGTATCTAAAGTCCTTGCCTTGCATTCACCAGGGTCTCATATGGGCGCTGGTTTGTGTCCCATCCATTTTCCTGCTTTCCATCCAGCTTCCTGCCTGTAGACTAGGAAAGCAGTTAGGGACAGCATAAAGCCTTGGGACCATACACCCACCCGCATGGGAGACCAGGAGGAGACTTCTGGCTCCCAGTTTTAAATCAGCTCAGCTTTGGCTGTTGTGGTCACTTGGTGAGTGAATCAGCAGGTAGAAGATCTTCCTGTCTGTCTCTTCTTCTCTCTGTTTATCTGACCTTCCAATAAAAGTAATAAAATTTTTTTAAAAAGTTCTTTAACTTTGTTTTGAAATTACTTATTAGCATGTTTTAAAATCCTTTTCTCTATCCAAGTGTTTCTTCATTTTTTATCAGCTATTTTTAAAAATTACTGAATTCAATAGAGACATATGGAACTCTACATTTTCTGGTTAACCTCCTAAAGTGCATATAGTGGTAAACCTGCACTGTGAACTGATAACTCGGCCTGAGATCTCTGATGTAGATGGCAGTGTTTGCATTGGTGGGAGACTGCATTTAGGGAGCTATAGCTAGAAGACCTGAATGTTTTAGTAGACCAAATACTTGCCCCTACTTTGTATTTTTGGGTTTTTTTGTGTGTGTGTGGGTTTTTTTTTAAAGATTTATTTATTTTTATTGGAAAGTCATATTTACAGAGAGGAGAGACAGAGAAAAAGATCTGCTCGCTGATGCACTCCCCAAGTAGTTGCAGCGGCCGGAGCTAAGTTGGAGCCGAGTTTGTCCAAAACCAGGAGCTTTCTCCAGGTCTCCCATGTGGATGCAGGGTTCCAGTGCTTTTGGCCATCCCTAATGCTTTCCCAGGCCACATGCAGAGCTGGAAGGGAAGTAAAGCACTGGGGATACGAACCAGTGCCCATATAGGATCCTTGTGTATGCAAGGTGAGGACTTTAGGCACTAAGTTTTTTAAATTCATTTTAAAACTTTGATATCTATATCCTCTTTGTTATTCTCACCATTAAGTGTATACTCTCAATTAACTCTTACCCTTATTTTTTTTTAAGCATACTTAAAATGTATTTGCTTTTAAATTTTTGATAAGTAGTTGAGGAAATGTCACAGAATTGAAGAAGTAACTTTGACAGCAAGTTTTTGATAGTGTGGTTGAAATACCCATGTCCTCCATGTAACTGGGTTTGATTTCTGGGATTTGCTCCCAGCTGCAGCTTCTTGCCAGTGGCAACCCTGGGAGGAACAATAATTGGGTTTTGCCACACATACAGGAGTTTCTGGGTCCTAGCTGTAGCCCCAGCAACTTTGGGCGTTTAGGGAGTGAGCCAGTAGATAGGAGCTCTCTTTGTGCCAAATTAATGAATGAATTTTCCTTAAAAATAGCTTAGTATTGATTGAAATGATTATTGTAAGTATGATAGTATCTTACAAATTAAGGATCCTGAACTGTTTTCTAATAGTTTATACCAAGTTGAAAATAATTGCACCAAATACCACTTTGGTTAGCTAACTGGTTTACTTTTTGTTTTTGTCATGATTCTAGGTACTAGAACCACAGAATGTCGATCCTTCTATGGTTCAAATGACCTTTCTAGATGATGTTGTTCACTCTTTATTAAAAGGTGAAAATATTGGTATTACATCACGACGTAGATCTCGTGCCAATCAAAATATCAACACTGTTCACGTATGTATGTTATTAACCAATTGATTTTTATTAAATACTTTTCTTTAGGTTACACAGATTCAGGTAGTAAACAGTCGTTGTTAATGTTCATTTTTAGGGTCATTATACACGTGCCCAAGCAAATAGTCCCAGACCAGCAATGAACCCCCAAACTGCTGTACCAAAACAGAATACACACCAGCAACAGCAACAAAGGAATATCCGTCCAAATAAGAGAAAGGGCTCGGATAGCAGTATACCAGATGAAGAGAAGATGAAGGAGGAAAAATATGATTGTATATCACGAGGAGGTAGGACCCACTTTTTCCCTTAGTGAAGACAAACGAAATACATTTTAAAGCTACCTACTTAGTATTCATTATGAAAACATGACTGTTCTTTTTTTGTTTTAATCTTACAGAAAATCCTAAAGGTAAAAGCAAACACTTGATAAATAAAAGAAGGAAGCCTGAGGATGATGAAAAGAAACTAAATATGAAAAGACTGAGAGCTGACAATGTTTCAGACTTTTCTGAAAGCAGTGATTCAGAAAATTCAAATAAGAAGGTAATAGATAATTCCTCCAAGCAGAAGCCAGAGGATGAATTGAAAAATAAAAACAATTCTAAGATAAATGGGGAAGAAGGAAAATCCCAGAATAATGAGAAGGCAGAAGAAACATTGACAGATAACCAGACTAACTGGGATCAAATACAGGATGATAAGAAACAGGAAGAAGCAGAAAAACGGAAATGTGTTGACACACAGCTACAAGAAGAAATGAATATCCATTCATCTGAGCAGGCCATACTTTCTGATCGCAATTCTAATGATGTACTTCTTCAGGAATGCAGTATAGAAAACACAGTCGAAATATTACCAAAGGAAAAGTTTACAGCCAGACCACCAACACCAAAATTTGTTATTGACATCACAAATGACACTAACTCAGAGAAGATGGTTCAGGAAAGCTCAAGTACCTTTGGTCTTCAGCTTCAAAAAGTGGATCCTACTGTTAGCGATTCAAAACATTCAATTACCAATACAAAATACTTGGAAACAGCAAAACAAGATTCTGACCAGAGCTGGGCCAGCGATGTAGTTAAAGTAGATTTAACCCAATCAAATGTTAAAAGTGCTTCTTCTGGAAATGATCATCTAAACATGGAAAAAGAGAAAAATCAGTTTGTTCCCTACGTTTCTTCAAGTACAGTGTCTGTTTCAGAAGATAAGCTACATAAACGCAGCCCACCCCCAGAGACCGTAAAATCTAAACTTAACATTTCAGTAGATGTTCACAAGGCAAAATCTAATCCTTCACCTGAAGTTAAACCCAAAATTACTCATTCTCCTGATTCTTTAAAATCTAAGGGTACCCATGTGAATAGCCAGGCCACTGGTGAAAGAAGACTAGCTAATAAGATGGAACATGATTTATCAAGGTGTAGTTTTCATCCAGTTCCTACTCGAGGCAGTACAATGGAAACCACTAAGAGCCCCCTGATCATTGATAAAAATGAGCATTTTACAGTTTACAGAGATCCTGCTCTTATTGGGCCAGAAACAGGAGCTAATCATATTTCACCTTTCTTAAGCCAGCATCCTTTCCCTCTTCATTCCTCATCACATAGAACTTGTTTAAATCCAGGTACCCATCACCCTGCCTTAACTCCTGCACCTCACCTATTAGCTGGATCATCTAGTCAAACTCGCATGTTGTTTAAGAATTTTTTTTTTTTTGGTTAAAATAATATTTTATGATTTTTATGTATTATTTATTAATATTAATAATAAATTTTTTTTTTTTTTTTTAGATGGATTTTATTTTATTTTTTGGAACAGAACAATTTAATTGGTACAGTTTTAGGATTATTTTATGATTTATTATTAAGGTGAGAATTTTATTAAAATTTTTTATATTTAATTTTTTAGGAATTTTTAGTTATGTTTTTTTTTTTTTAATTTTTTATTTATTAAAAAATTTTTTTAAGGAAGTAAATGTTTTGAAATTTTTATTTATTATTATTTATTTTTTTTTTTTTTTAAATTTTTTTTTTAAATTAGAATTTTAAATTTTTTATTTATTTATTTTTAAATTTTATATATTTTTGTATTTTTTTTTTTTTGTAAAATTTTATAAAAAGTTTTTATAGAAGATTTTGTTTTTGAAATTAAAAAAGAACACAATACACAACCCTAGAACCAAAACCAATACCCCAAAAACAAAAAGATCTTGGTTCCAACCAAAAACAAACAAAAAACAAAAACAAAAAAGAATAGAAAAAAAAATAAAAAGACCAAAAATTAAACTAAAAAACACTGTCTCGCGTACCAAACCAAAACAAAACCACCCAAAAAACACGACACAAATTAAAAAAAACATAAAAAAAAACATAATTCCAACATACCCACAAAAGACATAGGCCGGTTACAAACCAGGTTTAAAACTAAAAACAAGCCCATCGCACGACAGAAACAAAAAAAAAAAAACCATAACAACAAAAACTCCAATCGTCCAAAATAAAACAAACTAAAAAACACAGAACAGCTCCCACCCCCTCAAAACGCTACAAATTATCCCCCCAAAAAAAAACCAAAAATCCCCACTATTCACCGAGTAAAAAAGGACCTCTCAAAACACAGAGCCGCTCCACAGACATAAAAAAGCAGCCAAAAAAACCCTCAAATAAACAAAATAAAAAAAAACATTCTCCGTCCCGCAAAAAACCATCCCCTCAGAAAACCGATAAGTAAAGTAGTATCATACAATTACAAAAAGCAAAAAACATACTGGAGAAAATCCAAAAAACCCACCAACGCCGACAATCAACCCAAAGTAGCCCAAGCAAACCTCAAACAAAAAAACAATAATCCAAACCAACAACAAAAACCAAACAACTCCACCCAAAAAACCATAAAAATAAAAGTAAAACCCCACCCCACAACAACTCACCAAAAAAAAAAAACAACAGAAAAAAAACAAAACCTCCAAATGCACAACCCCAAAAAAAAAGAAACAAAAACAAGCCAAAAACAAAAATAACCACCAAAAAAACCAAATACCCAAGCACCAATACAAACCCACCGTGACAAACAACCGCAAAAGAAAAAAACTACAAAAAAAAAACCAAAAAAACAATAGCGAAAAATCAAAACAAAAAAACAAAACACCAAAAAACAAGAACAACCCCCAGGAAAAATAACAAGAAAGCAAACTCAAATAAAACAAACCCAGCCTTACAAAAACACATGGCAACAACAAAAACACGACAAACTCACTTCAGCCACACATCAAAAAAAAAAAAAACACCAAAAAGTCGCAAAATGCGTTTATTAAAGTTAAAGAGCACACCCAAAAAAAAACAAAAAAAAAAACACAAAAAAAAACAAAACAAAAAAAAAAATCTAGCAAACAACAACAACAAAAAACACAGACCAACAAGAAAATAACAAACAATTTGAGTTCCGCCCCCAAACAAAACAAGCCAAATACAAAAAATCCAACCAAAAAACAGAAGAAAGAAATTGTCCGCTCGCCACTCACCCCCCGTCAACAAAATTTAAAAATCAAAAAACCAACTTGGCCAACAAAACAACCCCAAAAAAATACGGCCCCCAACAACAACTAAAAAAAAAACAAACAAAAAAAACATAAAGCCAAAAAAAAAAAGACGCTAAATCACATACCTACAAAAAACAAGAAACACAACTACATGCACCTAAATGGAAAAAAAACACAAAACTCCTTACTTGAAGCATTTTTACAAACCGCACCATGAAAAAACAAAAATAACATCGCTGTCTCTCAAATAAAAAAAAACAAAAAAACCCGAAAAAACAAAAAGAAAAAAAAAAAAAACAAAGATTTAAGCCTCAACTGCGCAAGGCCCCACAAAAAAAAAAAGCACCTCTCCCCCACCCAACCCTTCACTAAATTAAAATAAAAAAACGCTTGACCAGCCAACCGCTTCAACACAAAATGCATAACCCTAAAAAACCCTCACAAAACAAAACCCGAAACACAAAATCCCCAGCCGACAACCAACTAAAGGGAATATAAATCCCCAAAAAAAAAGGACCCCGTCCAAAACATATCTTCACTACCAAATTCCCAAAAAAACTAAAACAAAATCCACTTATAACAACCCTTATCAACTTCAAAAACAAAAAAAAACAAACAAACAACAAAACAACAATAAAAAAAAAAAAAACAATACCCATGAATTAAACCCCAAAAAAAACCCAAAAAAAAAAACAACAAACCACATAAAAAAAAAAAACAAAAAAAGAAAGTACAAAAACAAAAACAAAAAAAAAAATAAAATAAACTAACAAAAAAACCCGCAACAAACAAAAAAAGTACCAAAAAAAAATCCAAGAAAAAAAACAACAAAAAAGGCCGAAAAAAAAAAACACAAAAAAAAACAAAAAACCAAAAAATTATCAAATCAAACCAAAAGAAACAAAAAAAAAAACAACCAAAAAGCAACCAAAAGAAAAAAAAAAAAAATAAACCCCCCCCAACAAAAAGCACAACCGAAAAAAAAAAAAAAACACCCGCAAAAACAAAAAAAAAATAAAAGAAAAGAGAAAAAAACGCCAAGACGAAAAGAAAAAACAACATCCAAAAAAAAAAAAAAGAAAACCAAAAAACGAGGAAAACCAAAAAAAAAACAAAAGCTAAACAGATCAACAAAAAAACGAGAAAAAATAAACAAAAAAAAAAAAGAACAAAAAAAAAAAAAAAAACCGAAAAAAAAAAAAAAAAAAAAAAAAAAATACCAAAACCAAAAAAAAAACACAAAAAAAAAAAAAAAAAAAACCCACCCCAAAAAAAAATAAAAAAAAGAAAAAAAGAAAAAACCAAAGAAACAAACAACTAAAAAAAACAAAAATAAATAACAAAAAAAGACAAACCAAAAATCCAAAAAAACAAAACAAAAAAAAACTCACCCCCAACAAAAAACAAACAAAAAAACCCCTCAAATAAAAAATCCCCCCCACACCAATCAAACCCCCCCCACACGACCCGAACCAACCCCACCAATACACAACACCAACTCCCCCCCACCCGAACCACACCCCCCGCAACCATCCCCACCCGCCAACCCCCCCTATCCTTTTCGTTCACCCGCCCGCAAAGGCTAATTCCACCGGAATAAAACCACTACTACATACACTCTTTCCCCCCCCTACATAACCACCCTCCCACCCAACACCCCCCCCACCACTACTACCCAGCCACAGACCCATGATAGCCATCAGCCGCACCAACCTTGGTGGCCACCCGCGACTGGACAGTGCTCATGCCAGCAGCTTGAGCCATTTAGCACTAGCACACCAGCAACAGCAACAGTTATTACAGCACCAGTCCCCTCATCTTCTTGGACAAGCCCATCCTTCTGCTTCATATAATCAGCTTGGACTTTACCCAATTATATGGCAGTATCCAAATGGTACACATGCTTACTCAGGACTTGGTTTACCTTCTTCAAAATGGGTTCACCCAGAAAATGCAGTTAATGCTGAAGCTTCTTTGAGGAGGGTAAGTAATACCATACCAAATGCTGTTTCAGTATCATTTTTAAGGTCATTTCCTCTTACAAAAATGCATTAGAATTTTCTAAGCAAAAATTATCTTTTCAGATGTTTAGTACCCTCAGAACTCTCGAAGTGAAAATGTCAGAAAAACCTATTTTTAAGAAATAAACTTGAAGTAAAACTTAAATTGTAGTATTTATTTATAGATTTAGATTTATTATATATAATTGTGTTTTGCCCAGAGGAAGTTCCTCAAAATAAAATTCCTGAATTAGAATTTATATATAATTATAAAGCTTTTGATACATGTTACCAAATTATCCCTAAACATTTTTTTTTTTATTTCCCACTTGAATACCCTGAAGTAATGGTATATATATTGCAAGTCACTTGTTTTTAAGGGCACTTGGCCTTTCAGGTTGGAGAGTTCCAGTATTTGGGAAAGTTAGAGCTAAGATTCTGTTTCCCTAACAAGTATTAGTGAAGTTGACAATCTGTAGGATTCATATGTTCCCTGGCTATGTGGTTTCTTGAGCAAGTGTATAAGAAGTGATTAACAGCATTCAGTTATAAATACAGGAATAGATGTGAATGTTAAACTCAGATAAACTCTGTATAGTCCAGGGTGCTTTTCATGTATTTTCCCAAATCTCTGTGGTTTATAAAAAGCATAAAGTTTACCATCTCAGCCTTTAGAATGTGCACAGTTCAGTGCTATTAAGTATGTCCATACTGTTGTACAGTAGATCTCTAGTAGTTTTTCATTGGTAGAAATGAAACTGTGTCTACCCATTAAGCACAAATTTCGCTTCCTCTAGCCTTGGCAATTATTTCAAATTCTTGACAAGGTTAGACACTTCATACGAATACAGTCAGATGACGTTTGTCTTTTATTTTATTTTTGTTTAGCATAATGTCTTTGAGACTCATTAAAATCGTTGTATGTGACAAGACTTTTTAACTTAAGTCTGTATAATATTACATTCTGTGTATATGCTGCGTTTTGTTTGTTCATTTATCTGTTGAAAGAAATCTTGATTGCTTCCACTTCTTGCCTTTGAGAACAGTACTGCAAAAGGCATGGGTAATTTGGAGTCTGTTTTGTTTTAACAACTTCTTAATACCATCATTTTTGGAAAACTCAAAGTGGGCCAGAACCAGAGTAGATTTCTTGGGGTGCCATTGCAATGACAATGTTAATTATTTCATTAGTTATTTTGCAATTAATACTACTTACATGTGCCATTCATAAAAACAAAGATGGTACTGATCATACCACAGTTTTGTTAGAGGAGCCATTTAATTTTGAGTAACAATAATGACATAGTGTGGTCAGGAGTCTTAAGCTATGCTTCCAAAAGTTCATGAAAAATTAAACTAAAAGGTAGATTTGTTTTGGTGAAAAAATTTTGGAATTCACGCATACAGTGGGTCTTAAGAGTTTTGAGAAATATATATTATAAAACTGTGGATTTCAGGTTTTGTGCACCAAAGTTAATCTGTGTTGTAATTATATTTTTCCACAAGCTTTATGAAGTATCATTGCACTTTTCTATTTAATGGGATTATGGTCATAGCATTTGTCTTTAATTTAAGTGATTTTACAGCATTGTATCTTCAACCAGATGAATTCTACTGCCTTTCACTTATCAATTCCGTATTTATAATGTTAGTTAACAACCAAAGGAAGTTCCTTGGTATTAAATCAGCTTCCTGCTGATAAATTTACGAAACTCAAATAAATGTCAATAATGGTATAGAAACAATTCTTAAGTTAGTGACTAAATGTATGCCTCAACATAGGGGGTCACTGTTACCATCTATTCAAGTATGAGGAAAGTAACATTGATACACAAAAGTAACTGTTAGACCACGCACGCCCACAAATTATGGTTGAACAATCATAGTAAACTGGAATATATTTGAGTTTTGAAAATTTTAAGTAAATTATTACAATAAATTGGCAAGTGAATGTGATTATAATTTATTTTTGTGAAACTTTAGAAATAACGTTCTGTCTTCACTATTAACACATATTTCTTTACATCATTCAAAATCATGTTCTTTATGTATCAATTATTGAATGTTAAACTATTAAGATTTGCTTTTAATAACAGTATATTTCTGAAAATTACTGTTTTAATACTAATGGATTTTCTATATAGAATGGAAAAATCTCACATAAATATACTGGTTACATATTAGGGTATTTCTTGATCTATTTCTGAAAACTTTAATATTTTTCTGAATACAGTATTGGTGTTTCATGATACTGTTTAACTTTTTATAGTAATTAAGCTCTAATTTTTTCTTTAAAGAATTCACCCAGTCCTTGGTTACACCAACCCACCCCTGTAACCTCAGCGGATGGTATTGGATTACTTAGTCACATTCCTGTGAGACCTTCCAGTGCAGAGCCTCATCGGCCTCTTAAACTCACAGCACATTCCAGTCCACCATTGACAAAGACTTTAGTAGATCATCATAAAGAGTAAGTTCACCAATGCTTAAAATAATTTAGTTTTTAACAGCTATGATGTCTCAAAACTAGGTCTTGGGGACTGATGTTGACATACAGCACATTAAGCTGCTTCTTGGGATGTCTGCATTCCTTATCAGAGTGGTTAGGATCAAGTCGCTCCTCTGCTTCCAGTTCAGCTTTCTGCTGATGTATGTCCTAGAAGTGTCCTAGAAGGCAGCAGGTGATGGCCGAAGTACTTCAGTCCCTGCCATCAGTGAGAGAGCCCTAGATGACTTCTGGCTCCTGGGTTCATCTTGCCCAGCCCAAACTTTTGCTGGTGTTTGTGGAGTAAACCCACAATTGGAAGATCTCTGGCTCTCCTCTGCCTCCCCAACTTTACTCTCAGATAAATAAACTTTAAAAAGAGAAAAACCTGGGCCCGGCACGGTGGTGCAGTGGTTAAGGTCCTCGCCTTGCACGCCCCGGGATCCCATATGGGCGCCGGTTCTATCCCAGCAGCCCCACTTCCCTTCCAGCTCCCTGCCTGTGGCCTGGGAAAGCAGTCGAGGACGGCCCAAAGCTTTGGGACCCTGCACCCGCGCGGGAGACCCGGAAGAGGCTCCTGGCTTCGGATCAGCATAGCATCGGCCCGTTGCGCTCACTTGGGGAGTAAATAATCAGACAGAAGATCTTCCTCTCTGTCTCTCCTCTCTGTATATCCGCCTTTTCAATAAAAACATAATAAAAATAAATCTTTAAAAAAAGAAAAAAACCTAGAGTTTAAAAAACTACCAATTTTCTGTATATTGATATACTATGATTTATTTGATGATGATGATAATAATAGTAATGTATATAATTCCCTTGCCCCAAATAATAATGTGCTTGCAAAGATGTGTTTTATAACAAGATGATGCTGCATAGAAAGTATCTTAGAAGAAAAAGTGGCTTCAGGAATCTTTGTATGCTTTTTTTTTTCTCTTTTTTGCAGAGAACTGGAGAGGAAGGCTTTCATGGAACCGTTACGGTCCGTTGCATCCACTTCAGCAAAAAATGACTTGGATCTAAGTAGGTCACAGACTGGAAAAGATTGTCATTTGCATAGGCATTTTGTGGATCCAGTATTAAATCAATTACAAAGGCCAACCCCGGAAACTGGAGAGAGATTAAACAAGTACAAAGAAGAACACCGTCGAATTCTTCAAGAAAGTATTGATGTTGCTCCCTTTACAAGCAAAATCAAGGGACTCGAGAATGACCGAGATAATTTTTCCAGAGTAGTGTCATCATCATCTTCTAGTCCTAAAAGCCATGTCATCAAGCAGGATAAAGATGTGGAGCGCTCAGTATCAGATCTGTACAAAATGAAGCACTCAGTGCCCCAAAGTTTGCCCCAAAGTAACTATTTTACTACATTGTCTAATAGTGTGGTAAATGAACCACCAAGATCATACCCATCCAAAGAAGTTTCCAATATTTATGCTGATAAACAGAGTAATACTCATGCAGCAACATCTAATCCTCAAACTCTGACTTCATTTATGTCATCTCTTTCAAAGCCTCCACCTTTGATTAAACACCAGCCAGAAAATGAAAATATGGTAGGTAAGATACCTGACCATCTTCCCCACCAAGTTGCATCTCACTCAGTAACAACCTTCAGGAATGATTGCCGAAGTCCTACGCATTTGACAGTTTCTTCTACAAATACACTCCGCAGTATGCCTGCCTTACATAGAGCGCCAGTGTTTCACCCACCAATCCACCACAGTTTAGAAAGAAAAGAAACCAGTTATAGTAGCCTTTCCCCTCCAACTTTAACTCCAGTGATGCCGGTAAATGCTGGTGTGAAAGTTCAAGAATCACAAAAGCCTCCAACCTTAATTCCTGAGCCAAAAGACTGTCAGGCTAATTTTAAGAGTTCTTCTGACCAGAGTTCGACAGAAATGTGGAGATCTAATAATAACCTAAGCAAAGAGAAAGCTGACTGGCATGTGGAAAAAAGCAGTGGAAAGTCACATGCTGCTATGGCATCTGTCATTGTGCGTCCACCGTCTAGTATAAAAATGGATAGCGTGCCAGCAGTGCAGTTAGCTTCTAAAGACAGAGTTAGTGAAAAATCCTCAACTGGAGCAAATAAAACAGATTGCTTCAAATCAGCAGAAGCTGGACAGACTGGAAGAATCATTCTGCCAAGTGTGAATTCAGACAGTACTCAAATAAAATCTGAAAAAAACTTTCAAGTCTCCCAGAGCAGTGTCTCCAGTTCAGTCATGTCTGCTGTAAATACATTGTGTAACACGAAAACGGAGATGCTCACATCTTCAGCCACTACCACAAGTGCTTCCAGCTTGGGGGGTGGCTCAGAAGTCATTTACTCTTTATCAAATACCATTTTGGTTCCTACATCATTAGAATGTAACACTTCAAAAAGTGTTAGCCAGCCAGTGGCACCATCACAAGAGTGCAAGGTCAACACTACAGCTCCTGTTCCACTGATTAGCGGTAAGACAGGAAGTGCTGTTCAGTCAAGTTCTGGATTCTCAGGCACAACTGATTTTATCCATTTAAAAAAGCACAAGGCAGCATTGGCTGCAGCTCAGTATAAAAGTAGTAATGTCAGTGAGACTGAACCTAATGTGAAAAATCAGACATCATCACACTCTGTTTCCCTGGATAGTACTGTAATCTGTAGTACAGTTAACAAAGCAAGCTCTGCAGGAAATGGGCAAGCATCCCAGACAAGTCAACCAAACTACCATACTAAGCTGAAAAAGGCTTGGCTCACTAGACATTCAGAAGAAGATAAAAATACTAATAAAATGGAAAGTTCAGGGAATTCTGTATCAGAAATTATTAAGCCATGTTCAGTCAACTTAATAGCCTCTACATCTAATGATATACAAAATAGCTTAGATAGTAAAGTTATAGTTGATAAGTATGTGAAAGATGACAAAGTAAATAGGAGAAAAGCCAAAAGAACTTATGAATCTGGCTCTGAGAGTGGAGACTCAGATGAAAGTGAAAGCAAATCTGAGCAAAGGACTAAGCGTCAACCTAAGCCAACTTATAAGAAGAAGCAGAACGATTTACAGAAGAGAAAGGGTGAAATGGAGGAGGACTTGAAACCCAATGGAGTTCTCAGCAGGAGTGCCAAAGAAAAAAGCAAACTGAAATTACAGAACAACAGTAACAGTGGTGAGTGAATTAGGTTTATTTCTGATAGAATGAGCTAAATTTTCTAGAATAATGACATGGTTCTCTGAAGATTTGTGTGTATTGGTTAACCACATTTCTGTATTTCATACCTGTAGTATGAAATGAGAAAAAAACCTTTTACCTTTCATGTTTAAGAGATCTGTAGTAATGTGTAACCCTTTGAGTAATGTAGGGGTTATTCGTAATTTTAACCATTTCTAAGAATTGTAAAAATGCAATTATAGCTGTCACAAAAGTATTTGCTAAAATACTTTTTTATAACCACATTAAACTGGGAGGGAAATTCTATTCTCAGTATCTTATTTAATGCATATTGCTATAAAATGATCTCAAAGTAGTATTATGAAGCCTGTGTCTCAACTCTTAGCCAGATGACAAAATTATAAACCTATTGAAATGATTACATGATCAACTATTTAATAATGCTGCTTAGTAAGTCTTTAACAGTGGGTAGAGGATAAAGGGGAGGGAGGTTCTTACATTGATTTCCATGTTCTAGGAAACAGGGAACCTAGTCTTTAGAGTGTCCATAATAAATAAAAAGCTTTGACATGTAAAACAACAAAAAAAATTCCTTAATGGCTACATATTAACAGAATAATTGGTACTTAACTAGTAATATTCACTATAAAGTGTTTATATTTTTATTCTAGAAGTAGTTTTTTTTCTCAGTTTGCTTATTTCTTTTTAGGTATGTTGCACAATGCAGAAAACACTTAATAGTTTCACTATATCCGTTTTCTCATCCATATACCGTATTTGAAATATCTGTGACAATGTGGACACTCGAGGAAGTACTTTACAAGCTTTTGAATGCTTGAAGTCTCTTATTTGTGCCTTTTCCCTGAATGAGGTTTTTCTATGTGCGTGTGTGGAAACCAGAGCAAACTGAAGGAGAGAAAAACAGGATGGAACATAGAAAAGGACAGTCAGAAAGTGAAAGAACGAAGGACAAGATCAATTAGAGACAGAGAGACTGACAAACTGAAATGCAAGTATAGTCAAAGACAGAGAGGGAGTTTGACTTCGAAGGATACCTTCCATATATTTGAATATCGCATTATGCATGCAGTGTTGCTCTTTCTTATATGTTCTTACTTGCCCTGTGAATTCATTAAGAGACTTAGTGTGGCAAAAAATTGTCTTTTATCTCATAACATTTCTTTTGGTGTTGGGTATTTAAATACTCAAGTATAACCTTAAAACAAAGATACAAATCTTCTAGCTTTTAACACTTGGGAAGTTTTTGTAAAGTTATGTTTGCTGATAAAATTAACTCAGTGAATAGTGCATGTTCTGAATTGAATATATGTCCTAAGTAAGAGGATTTTTTTTGGTTTTGGTTTTTATTTATTCATTATCCTAACTAAGCGTTTTAAGATGAGGCTGGGATTAGTTCCTTTTTCCTCATGAGTCAAATCTTCCCTGCTTGGTAACTAATATTTAACTTAGGAGAAGCTATTTAAATCCCATTTGTTGGCCAAATCTGAAGAATTATTATGTGTTAAATGCTTTTTGTTGATTATGAGCAAAGTTAACTTCCTTTGTTCTGAGCTGCCAAGCAAAGTTCTTTATTTTGTTAGCTTTCCTAATTTAAGGAGCTTCTGAGCCTTAGTGGATAATTTATTTTGTCAATCAAATATGTCTTTTTTTCTTCTAATGTTGAGTAGGATTGTTGTGATTCATGTTTAGCCAAAAAAAGGGAGTTAGGCCACTACTTGGTGCTTGATATATTTAATTATATGTTTTATTTACATATGCATATAATAGTATGATTCTTTTTCCATTCTAAAGCCAGATTTAATAGATTTCTTTTATATCTACTTTTTCCTCAAATACATATATATGTGTGTGTGTATATATATATATATATTTTGTTTGTTTGTTTAATTAAAAAGTTGGGTGCTTTTCTGTGACTAATTTTTATATAGTTGTATTTGTGCTCTGAAATAACTCACCAAATTTATATATCTGCAAGTCCTATATTATTCAGAAGTATAATTAGTTAATTTTTGTTTCTCCAAAAGAAAACTTTTAAAGAGATGTTGTATAATTTGAAGGTGGCATATATTTGTCTTTTAATTCTTTTTCTTCCTATTTACTATTGATAGAGCAGCTGTGTAGATTTGCTACTCAGGTTGAAAAGTTTATTCTGTAAAAGAAGCAGAAATACCCACTGATTTAGGTATTTTCTATTGACTAAATGTCTTCATCTCCAAATTTTAAGTTTTAGATATTACCAGTTTTGTTGTGTAAATACATATATAGTTATATTCATAAAAGCGTTTAGCTATGGTCCTGTGTGGCCTAGTCTAGAAGTGAAAATTATATGAAAACATTATATAGATGGTTCTGTGATTTATTCAGGTTTTTTTTTTTTTTACAAGAAAAAGTTCCAAGTGCCTATTTTGTATCATACCGCTAGTATTTTCTTTGCAATATCTGGCTCTTTATTACACTGTTTAAACTGTTCACAATACATAGTGAACCGTACTTTGAACATGTTCCATTATCTTGCATTAAAAGCATATTTGGGTTAAAATTATTTTTGTATTCAAAATACAAGTACATCGCATTTAGTTTATTTGTAGCAGCATTAAAAAGTAAATGATTAGAAGAAAATTTGCTGAATAAAAATTGGTCAGCATTGTAATTGTTCTATTGTTTATTCTTGTGACTGTAAAAGCTCTATGAAGTTCCTAGGAAAAAGTTGTCATATAGTGGAGAAAATAACAACTCTTTTAAACAAGTCTATTAAAAATATATTATAATGACGTAAGCGAGGTGTGTTCACTTATCTGTGTATACATGCGTAGTGCTTCTCTAGTGGATTTATGATCCCATAGCTTCTTGCCATAAAGATTAAAGGGAAAGCATTTCTGGAGGTGCTTAGTAAGTGGACCTGGTTTAATTGGACCACTCTACCTTTTGCTAATTCCTGTTTTAACATAGGTGATTTTTCTGTCATTATATTTCTATGTTATCAATACATATGTACTAGAACTCTGAACAGGAATTCTGCTGAAAGTCTGTGTGAGTACCTATTCTTAGAATATTTCTGCGAATTACAAAATGGGCCTGGTTAGAAAGCTTAAGGGTTGGAGAATGCTATTCATTTTTTCAGTATGACAAAAATGATAAACTAAATCTACCGTATAGACAAATTTATTAATATGGGCAGGAAAAATCCACTTTAGAGAAAAAAAAATTACTAGTCCTAGCATAGCTTGATCTTTGACATATATGTGAATAGTTCAAGCTTATGTATAATTTTTTTAAGCTCCTTTTGGTCTAAAGATTCCTCCTGCTGTAAGACGACTTAAACCAATGTTCTTAAACTTGTAAAGGTCAAGTTAATAAATGTGATGGAGCAACATTGTAAAGTATGGTAAAAAAAAAATTGTTTTCTACAAATACTTGACTGTATAATGCATTTGAGTTCAACAAATACAATCATGTTAATTTCTTTCCTTTCACTGCAATACTCTTCTGTTTTTCTGAATGTTATTGCTGCCATTAATATGTTGATATCAAATGTGGGGTACTATAATAAGGGACAGATAAATTTATAGAATTCTATTTTTAGTGATTGTTTACTATGTACATTTGTTAAAGAGTGTAGTCAGCTGCAAAATTTGCTTTGCTTTGCCTTTTCAGTATACTGATGCAAGAATCTGGTTTCTTTGGTTAGTAGAAATAATCTGCCAGTAAAACATAGTATGCTGTGAACTTTACTTAATTCATATACATATAAACTATCTTTGCTTTTTTTTCCTGCAGTCTTTACCATAGCATGACAGTTGTACAGTTGACTTGAATTTCATCTCAAGGAATGTGCCTTTCTGCAAAACATAATCCCACCCTAATAGTTTGCTACTCATTTTACAGCTGGCATCCCTCGTTCGGTTTTAAAAGATTGGCGAAAAGTCAAGAAGTTGAAGCAAACTGGGGAATCCTTTTTACAGGATGACTCCTGCTGTGAGATAGGGCCTAATTTACAAAAGTGCCGAGAATGTAGACTTATACGTAGTAAAAAAGGAGAAGAACCGGCTCATTCGCCAGTATTTTGTAGATTTTATTACTTTAGACGGTAAGTGAAATTGGGAGGATATTTTTATTTTTAGAAATTGTACTATTCTGAGTCCATTGTAGATGTGGAAGTGAGTTTCCATGTTAAGGAAGAATATTAAACACTTTAATGCTAAGTTTTAACAGTAACTGTAGAATTGTTACATCCCATATGACCATTCTTTTGAAAGAATTTTTTTTAATGAGAAAATGTTTACACTTTTTTTAATCAAAAATAATGGGAAACAGTATTTTAATTTAACTTACTTGTTGGAAAGGCAGAATTACAGAGGAGTAAGTAAAGAGCAAGAGAAGCCTCTGGTCTTTTGATTCACTCCCCCAAATGACCTCAGTGGCCAGAACTGGACTAAGCCAAATCCAGGAGTCTGATACTTCATCATCTGGTTCACATAGGTGGCAGGCACCCAAGCACTTGGGCCGGCTTCTACTGCTTTCTCAGGGAGCTGGCTTGGAAGTGAAGCAGCCAGGACATATGAAATGCTGGCACTGCAGGGAATGGCTTTAGCAGCTATGCCACAGCACCTGTTCCACCATGTAGTTTTTTATTGAAGCATTTTTAAGATTTGTATAAAGCCACTTAAAATTATTACCTAATATTACTATTATTAGTATTACTTAGTACTTTTAGAAAGCCGTTGCTTTGGGAACCATATTCCATTAAGGAGTGCCATTCATGTCCTGACTACTATACTTCCCATCCATTTCGTTCCTGATGTACCTTGAAAGCTAGCAAGTGATTGCTTAAGTACTTTAGTTGCTACCATCTACATGGGTGCCCCAAATAGAGTTCCTGACTTCCAGGTGGCCCAGCCCTGGCTGTTGGCAGGCATTTGGGAACTGAACCACTTTGTGTGTATGTGTCTGTCTCTCCTCTCCACAACCCCACCTTTCAAATTAAATGAATAATCTTAAAAAGATAATTGGAGGCCTGGCATGGTGGCTCAATAGGCTAATCCTCCACTTGCCAGCAACATGTGTGGACACCAATTCCTGTCCAGGTGGTTTACTTCCAGTACAGCTTCTTGCTTAGGGACTGAAAAAACTGGAGCATGGCTCAAGCCCCTGATCCCTGTACGCAGGTGGGAGACCCAGAAGGAACTCCTGGCTTTGGATCATCTTGGCTGTAGCTGTTGTGACCACTTGGGAAGTGAACCCATGGATGGAAGATCTCTGTCTTGTCTCCAATTCTCTCTGTAAATCTGCCTTTTAAATAAAAATAAATCCTTCTTAAAAAATAGTTGAGCCAAATGCTCAGTAGAGCATAATTTATATGTTGCTTCTAGTTTTTAATCCATCTCTGTTGATTCGTTCCTGGTTAAGCTACAGCTAAACTTGTCTCATGCATATACTTTGAGTGCTAAAGGACAGAATGTCATATGTATAGTCCTTAATGTGCAGCTATACATATTATATTAAACACTTTAATTAATTTCATCTTTAAAAGAAGTTGAGACATTTTATTCTAGTAAATATACCATATTAGTGGCCCAGGAATGACCTTCAAAAAATTAGTATTGGTAGAACAGACCAAGTTCTTTATTTCTTCCTTGTCATAGTCTTTGTGGACTTCAGAGAACAGTTATAGAAATAAATAGTTAAAAGCATGTAAAATGAATTTAAAAAGGATGGATGCAAAAGAAAAATTGATTTAAGGAAGTATAGGTAAAATTTGAAGGAAAGAAAAGTTTACATAAAGATAACACAAGTAAGATTGTAACAAAATGTTATAGTAAAAGGACAAAAACAGTTTAAATAGAAAAGGGAAATGATAAAAATATAAATGGGGATAAAATAAGTTAGAAAAAAAGTGCACTATTTTTTATGAGGAATATCAAACATTCCCTGAGAGTAAAGACAGTAAATATGAGTTGGTTGGAAAATAACCAGCAGTGAGTGGATGAGGGAGGTCCTGCCTCCCATTTGCCCTAGCGTTCTCTGAAGCTGAGTGTGAGCACATTAAATGGATTTAATAAACAGGTGCTTCATTCTTGTTTGTCTATATCACTTGAATGAAGTATTTTAATTAATGAAAGTGTCTCATTATTTTAAGCCTACCAGTAAAAATCCTAAAATGGTTTAGTTCATTTTCAACATTAATAATTCCTGCCTTTAAGTTACATAAAAATATCATTCTCTGAATTATACTGGTACCACATTTTTATTCTTTTTGCTCATCAAATGTTTAGACATTTTTTTCATTTGATTGCATTTTAATGATTAAATAATTGGAAACTCTTGAAATAACCCCAAGTTAGTGCTAATTATTTGTATTGCATCTATGAGACTCTTACAAAATAATTAAAATATGTGGGAACTACCCCATTTAAGTTTTTAAAAATGATTCTGTGATTCATAATAACTTAAATCTACTGCTTTTATGTTTTAATGTTTCAGATTGTCATTTAGTAAAAATGGAGTGGTTAGAATAGATGGTTTTTCTTCTCCTGACCAATATGATGATGAAGCTATGAGTTTATGGACACATGAAAATTATGAAGACGATGAACTAGACTTGGAAACTTCTAAGTATATCTTGGATATAATAGGTGATAAGTTCTGTCAGTTAGTAACATCTGAAAAAACAGCTTTGTCCTGGGTGAAGAAGGATGGTAAGGAAATAAAACATACATTTTACAAATTTTATTTTAAGAAATTTTCTTTTGAAGTATGTTTAATTTGTGGAAGAAATCCCAGTTCTTACCTAGTCTTGATTTTTAATTGTAATAATGGTATCTTTTTGTGTACAAATGCAACTATGCTTGAGCTTATTAATATTTCTTTTGAGGTTGAAGTTAGTGGATTAAACTTTTATGATATCATGATACTGTTTTGCCATTAAAACATCAACCATAATTATAAGATTGTTTGGGGTGCAACTGTGTGAATCTTATCATTTACTATGCAAGGAGATTCAGTCTCATTTGCTTGTATTTGACTCTTAAGGTTACTCTTCATATTAACTACACAAACTTTTATAAATCTCTGAATATTAGGTCTGTTATGTAGGGAAGATAAGTTTCATAGGTTTGTTGGAAAGTAACTGTTAATTTTATTTGCTCATGTAAGGCACTGATATTACCTAAGTATATAGCTGCTCTAAATATTAACTGCTTTTCCTTCCCTTCCCTAAAATCAGTAGTTTAAATCCAGAGAACATTTGGTATTGACAGTAAACATTTTTATGGTTATGTGCTGCTATGTACAGTTGGTGAAGACCAAAGATGTCAGAAGACGTACTGCAGTGCATAAGTATTACCTCTTGAAAGAAAGAATTGTTCAGCCCAAAAATGTTAAAAGTGCCAAGCTTGAGAAATCCTGTTGTAAATGTAGGCCATTTTAAATGCATGGCGGAACATGTATTTTCCTTTCCGTTACTGTTTTCTCTGCATTTCAGCAAAAATTGCCTGGAAAAGAGCAGTGAGAGGAGTCCGGGAGATGTGTGATGCATGTGAAGCAACATTGTTTAACATTCATTGGGTTTGCCAAAAATGTGGATTTGTGGTTTGCTTGGATTGTTACAAGGCCAAAGAGAGGAAGAGTTCTAGAGGTTTGTTTTAAGATTTGTATGTTTATTATATATTTGAAAGTCAAAGAGTTACAGAAAATGAGAGATCTTCCATCCATTGTTTTACTACTCAAGTGATTGCAGCAGCTAGGGCTGGGTCTCCATGGAGGTAGCAGTGGTCCAAGTTGTTGAGCCATCTTCCTCTGCTTTCCCAAACAAATTAGGAAGGAGCTGGATTGGTATTTGGGCCAGTGCTGTGGGATGCCAGTAGTGAAAATGGTGTGTTAATGTGCTGTGCTACAGTACCAGCCCATGTAAATATAAATATATTACATACAATTTTGTTATTTTGATTTTTTTTGACAGCATAGAGACACATTTTTCATTGACTGAATAAGTTCCCTGTTAAATAGTAAAGGCAAGACCAAGTCAGAATCAGGAGTCTAGAACACAGTTCAGGAATTCAGCATGGGTGACAGGTTCTCAAGTACAGCCATCATCTGCTATCTCTCAGGCTGCAGGGCAGCAGGAAGTTAGATTGGAAGCAAAGGGGTGAGGATCCACCCTGGCTCTGGTACGCAATGCAGGTGTCTCGAGTGATGGGACTATATCATATTCTCCCGTAAAGTTTGTAGTGTTTTTGTTTGTTTTTTAAGATTTGTTTACTTTTATTGGAAAGGGAGATTTACAGAGAGAAGGAGAGAGAGAGAGAGAGAGAGAGAGATCTTCCTTCTGCTGATTCACTCCACAGGTGGCTGCAACAGCCGAGTAGAGTAGATCCTAAGCCAGAAAATTTTTCCAGGTCTCCCACGTGCTAGTGCAGGGTCCCAAGGCTTTGGGCAATCATTGACTGCTTTCCCATGCCACAATCAGGGAGCTGGTTGGGAAGTAGGGCTGCCAGGATTAGAACTGGTGCATGCAAGGCGAGGACTTTAGCCACTAGGCTACCACATAGGGCCCTAAAGTTTGTTTTTAAGAGAAAGAAAGAGTAATCAAAATTTAGTTGGTAGATTTTCTGAAATTTACCTTCATCTGTAACTTTTAACCTGATGATTGCCAGATACCTTTCCATATCAGGCAGATAGGTTCTCAGTATAGTCCGCATTTAGGTTTTTACTGATTTATTTGAAAGGCACAGAAAGAGATTTTCTCATCCTCTGGCTCACTCCCAAATGCTCAAAAATGTTGGGCTGAGCCAGGAGCCAGGAATTCAACCCAGGTGTCCCTTGGAGTTGACAAAGATCCAAACACCCGAACCAGCACTTGTGGCATCCAGGGTATATATTAACAGGAAACTATATTTCGGAGCAGAATTAAAACCAACTTTGGGCCGTTTTCAACTGCTTTTCCTGGCCACCAGCAGGGAGCTGGATGGAAGGTGGAGCAGCCAGGGTACAAAATGGCGCCCACGTGGAATCCCAGCAGATACAAGGCAAGGATTTATCCATAGGCTATCACACTGGGCCCAACTTATTTTACTTGTATTTGAAAGGCAGAGTTACATAGAGAAGGAAACAGAAGGTTCAATCTTCCATCTACTGGTACCTCAATTCTAGGAACTGAAACTTGGACCTAGCCTGTCTGAGGCCTGTCGTGGCTTTACCTTGGTTCCCCTTGTTGCAGCAAGGGAAGGGAAGCTCTCATTACAGAAGCCAAACTTAACAATCAGTTTAACAATTTATCAGTCAGCATTATTCTAACATTATTTATCCTATGTTCTAATTGCCATTACTTACACAATCCTTTACTAATTGCTATCTCTTAACACCTACATGTTTGTTTTGATTACTTTATTACTAAGTTACTTATTTAATGCTATCCCTTGACCTTAATCTGTTTCTTAATACTACTCCCTGATACTATTTATTACTACCATAGTACTATTTGCCTACTGCATAACATACTATTTTCTTGATTCATCTACCATTCAGAACACTTTATTACTACTTAGGTAGCTCTTTAGTTCCACAGTCTCAACACAGGGAGGTGGAACAAAAATGGAGCAGCCAGGACTCAAACTGGCATCTGTCAGGGCTACCAGCACCATAAACCTGTTCATTCAAGTCATAAACATAAGCCACATTTGAATATTTCATCTAGTATGAACTGATTTTTCTAAATATCCATCAGTAAAGGTGAAGTAAAAGCCATCAGGAATATTCTGCCTCTGTCAATGTTTATCCCTCAGAGCTCATTGTTTATGAGGAGAAAATTTTTGTATCTTTGGAGCTGTTCTCAACACATACTTATTTTAAAAGATCATTTATTTATTATTCATTCATTCATTTATTTGAAGGAAGGAGAAACAATTCTGGGCTCAGCACAGTAGCCTAGTGGCTAATGTCCTCACCTTACATGCACTTGAATCTCATGTGGGCGCCGGTTCTAATCCCTGGAGCCCCACTCCCTATCCAGCTCCCTGAATGTGGAATGGGAAAGCAGGACAACCCAAAGCCTTGCACCTTGCACCTGCATGGGAGACCTGGAAAAAGCTCCTGGCTTCAGATCTGCTCAGCCCTGGCCATTGTGGCCCCTTAGGGAGTGAACCAGCAGATTTCCATCTTCCTCTCTGTCTCTCCTCCTCTCTGTATATTTGACTTTTCAATAAAAATTTTTTAAAAATGTCTTTCATACAGTAGTTCATTCACCAGATAGCTGCTACAGGTTCAGATGAAAATCAGGGGCCCCATTGTGGTCTTCTATGTGGGAATAGGTGTCCACGCACCTTTGGCATCTTCCGTTTTCCCAGAGTATTAGCAGGGAGCTGGATCATAAGTGGAGCAGCCAGCACACAAACTAGCTTCTACATGGGATACCAGCCTTACAGGCAATAGCTTGACTGCAGCATTGGTCCTTAGAACTATCATTTTCAATATTTAGGGAAAGTAGTACCGAAAATGTCCTCCACCTTTTTTTTAATTTCTGCTGAATATAATACATTTTATAAAGGAAGTAGTTAAGTGTGTGTCAGAAGTATTTCAACAAAATTTAGGACAGTATTGGAAATGTCCAATGCTGAAGCTTATTTGTTGAGGGTTATGTTCTAATAAAATGCGTAGGATATGAATCATGTTGTCATTTTGAGTAAATATTGGGGCATCCATTTGGTTCATTAGTTAAAGTCCCCTGTGTCCCCCTTTAGAGAGCCTACATTCATCAGGGCTGAGATTTGCCTTGGCTCCTCGTTACAGCTTCTGCTGATGCAGGGTATGTTCAGCTTAGTGAGAATTCCAGTTGTTGGGTTCCTACTATCAACTCAGGTTGAGCTCCCTGTACCTGACTTCATCCTGGTCCTGCCAAAGCAGGCATTTGGAACTAAGCTACTGGATAGGAGTTTGCATACTCTCTTTCTTTTTCCCTCTGCCCTTAAATATGTAAATAAATTCTAAAACCATGACAAATACTTAATGATAAACCATTTAATGCTTCACAACAATAAATGTCATTTTAATTAGACTGTGTTTTTCAAAACAGTATTTAGGTTCAGGGGTGGGGAATTTTTTCCTATGAGTTGGAATATTTTTATAGCTGCATTTGTGAACTCCTCAAAATTTTTTATTTTTTTAGTTTTAGTAATGGTTACCTAGCTCAGAGGGATGCACACCTATGTGAGCTTCTGATTAGGGTGGGGAGGATCAGGGAGTAGAAGAAAGTAAGTGAGTTAAGTGTTTCAGTTTTTTGTTCCCTCAGGGGTTAAGAAGGGACCACTTCCTTGCTGTAAACATGTATCTGCACCCAGGGATGGGGAGCGGTCTTCTGATAACAGCTTAGATGCGCTAATGTGGGGAAATATTCCAAGGGTGTTACTTTAGTGGTTTTCATAGTTCTGAGGCATTGTTGATCTTATTGCACCAGGGTAGACAATGTCGAGGTCTGTTGGCTGACTTAGGTTTGCTTTAGTGTATCCACTGCCTCAGACACTTTCTGGAAAACTTAGGAGAGTTTTCCAACTTGTTCTGTTTTCCATCCTCTGGTGAATCACTCAATGTTCTCTACAGGCCCAGATGATCCAGTTGTCATGTCTTTTCATGTGCTTTTGGGTGTGTGCTTCATTACATGAGCATCAGCAACTGAAGAGGCCCAGTCCTGATGCATGCACTCCAAGGTCAAACCACATGTATCTTGTGGTTTTCCGTGAGGATCGGGTTTAAGTCTAGTGGTCTAGCTGGGAATTCCCCCAGGAAACTTCTGCTGGGGTGACCTCAGACTTTTGTGTACACCAGCTGGTTTAGGGTCAGGTTTGTTCCATTCCCTGCACGAACCAACACATGTACCAGTGGATGCAGCTGCCTACTCAGTTCTACTTCCAACCCAATCTTTCACACCAACTAGCAGATGCTACAGCCAGGATCCCTCAGCTTATCCCACCTCAGGCCTGACCAGCAGGTGCTGCTACTTAGGGCAGTCCCAAATAACCCTCCAGATCCATGCCCAGCCCCAGTTTTTGTACATGCTGGCAGGTGCTACAGCCTAGCCTGGCTGAGCACACACCCCATCCTTGCTTTCCAGTGCTCCAGCTATGGACTATCCCAACACAGTCTGTCTCCATACCTGTCCCACACGCATGCTGAGGGGTGCCACAGACTTGTTTTATCCAATTTGTCCCCAACCCCAGTTCTTGCACCCACCATTGGGAGCCCAGTAGGAGAGTCCCTAGATTTCTGCCTATGAGGCCCACTCCCAACCCTAGGTGTTAGACTTGCAAGTGGGTACTGCGGCCCAGCTTGACATGGCCTGCTCCTAGTCCCAGCTCTCTGGCAGATGCTGCAGTGTAGACCACCCTGGCCTACCCCTGGGCTCCACAAAGTTATAAGTTTAAAATTAGCCTGCTTCCTTAGATGTTGATAGAGTTTGACAGCAAAGGACATTCCTCTCCTCTCCTTTCCCTGCTGCAACACAAGAGTTTAAAAAAAAATCGAAACATGTATCTCACCCACTTTCCTCTATTCCTCGCCTCTCCCTATCAGAGGCTTACTTGAATATGCTTTCCTCTTATCTATGTAATCTTTAAGTTACAAAGAATTGCCCAACTATTGATGTATTGAATTTTTATTCCTACCTGCAACCACATTACCAGTACTATACCAGGTGATTTGGGGGTCCTTGGTAGTTGAACCATGAATGAGTCACCAGTACCTTTGCTACTGAGATAACTAATACCTCACTCTTTCTGACTATACAATGTGCTTAAGAGATACAGTGTGCTTAAGAAAGAGACCTAAGCAAATGTGGTATCCTATCTGAGTATACCCAGCTTTGTTGCTGTGCACTACATACATAAATATTTCTATGTAATTTTTTAAAGATTTATTTTACTTTTATTGCAAAGTCACATATACAGAGAGGACGATCTTCCATCTGATGATTCACTCCCCAAGTGGCCACAGCAGCTGGTGCTGTGCAGATCCAAAGCCAGGAGCCAGTAACTTCCTCCAGGTCTCCCACACAGGTGCAGGGTCCCAAGGCTTTGGGGCATCCTTGACTGCTTTCCCAGGCCACAAGCAGAGAGCTGGATGGGAAGCAGGGCCGCCGGGATTAGAACTGACACCCATATGGGATCTTGGCACTTTCAAGGCGAGGACTTTAGCTAATGGCCACCGTGCTGGGCCCTGTTACTATGTATTTATGTAAAATGTTCAAACCATAATAAAAAATGCATTTGAGGAAGTGACATCCTTAAAACTGTAAAAATGTTTTGGTAATTTCAGTTATTATTTAACTGTATTATAACATTTTATGAAAAATTTTATATTCCTTTTTCCTGATTCTACTTTCTTTACCAAATTTTAAAAGTTAATTATATTTTGTTATATTACTTGCATATAGGCATAAGCCACAATGAAGCTTTGTTTAAGATAAGATATAACATTTATGGTAACAAAAATAATTGTGTTACTTCTTGATTTATTACATAATGTTATTCATTTTGAAAGTATATTAATCACATTATTATTCTATGAAATGCAGCCTTACCTTAAGTTTTATTTTGTAGTCATTTTATTTGTAGGGTATTTGGATGGCAGAATAATGGAGGGAAGAAAGGAAACAGTGGAGAGAGAGAGAATCTCACATCTTTGATTTCCTCCCCTCCTTTAATGTCCTCACTAATTAGGGGCTGGGTAAGGTTGAAGTCAAGAGCAAATGTCTACATCCAGGTCTTCACATGGGTGGCAGGAGCTCAAATCCTTGAACCATCACTTGCAGTTTTCCAGGCATATTAGAAGAGAGCAGGATTGGGAGTAGAGTAGTCAGAACTGAAAATTGCACTCTGATGTTGGATGCAGGGTCCCAAGCAGCAGTTTAATGTGCACCACAGTGCCCACCCCTATGTAATCTTGTTTCATTGTTAAGTACTGTAATAAGCCCACAATAGATTTAATGCATAACTTTGGATATTGTTAATAAATATAAGTGTCCAACTTATATTTAACTCATGTCAGTAGTTGTAAAACATTTACAAATAACTGTTGGTTTTGGCAAGGAAAATCAGAGCTTTAAGAGAATCACTTTTAGACTGAATCAGAATTTTTTTTAATCTAAAGTTTTTGTGAAACATTTGAATTTTTCTATACCGAGTTTATTAAGCTTTGCAAATACATTTTGAAACCCTTATAGCTGCATCTTAAGTAGTTGTCCATGCCACTAAATCTATAAAGTTTCCCTGAAGCCATCGTGTTGACTTTTTTCTTACGAATAATATGCTTCATACTAAAGTTTAATATGTTTACAGTTTAGGTATGAAGCCTTGTTTGAAGGCAACAATCGCAGCAATAACTTGCACATGCTTCATGACAGTTTCTCTACATGTCTTCGAAGTATAAAAGGAAAATAACTTGGTAGTAGCCTCTAATTTGTGTCAGCGTTCTATGAGCAGGCACATACCCTGCTTGGAACAGAAAATACGTAAGAGATTAAAAAAAAAGTAGCTATAAGGAAGCTAGTCTTAGAGAGAATACAGATGATTAAACGTTAAAGGATTGTAGACATTGTACTAGTGAAGGTTATTATATCCACTTTGTGTAGCTATTTTTATAAAACATAGAATGGTGTAACTTTTTTAAAGAACCAAATATTTGAAACCCATCATTAACATTTTAATTTAACTATTCTTCATGTGTTAAACTGTCAATTTGATTACAGCAAAGCTATATATGGCTTTATACATATATAAAACATTGTATATTATCTTACAGATAAAGAACTATATGCTTGGATGAAGTGTGTGAAGGGACAGCCTCATGATCATAAACATCTAATGCCAACTCAAATTATTCCTGGTTCTGGTAAGTATAAATACATATTGTTTGCTTGGTACACAAAGTCTTACTTGCTTCATAATAAAGAAACACTTAAATGAGCAGATTATCTAGGAAGTTTAACAGAATGTTGAGGTAAGATTGACTAATCAAATTGTGTTGCTTAGTTACTTTAAGTTACATATGTGTTAAAGGAAGAAAGACAAGCCATCATGGAACCATTTTATTTAGTTGGTTTTTATTTGAAAGGCAGACTTACAGAGAGATCAAGAGAAGGGAGAGAGAAAACGCACTACCTGCTGGCCCAACAGCCAGAGCTGGGCTGGTCCAAAGCTGAGAGCCAGGAGATTCCTCCATATCTCTCAATGAGTGCAGAGACCAAGACGTTTGGCTCACTACTGCCTTCCCAGGCTGTTAGCATGGAACTAGATGAGAAGTGGAGCAGCTGGGATCCCGTTCATATGGGATGCTGGCACCACAGATTGAGATTTAGCTGGTCCTGCTACTACACTGGCCATGGAATTATTTTTAAAGAGATAAAGTAGAATGTAATGAGAAAGCCTATAATGACATTTGTGAATATGATTTTCTAACAACAAAAAGAAAAATAAGCAAATTTGGTGATCAGTTCTGTGATTGTTTTAAAAAATAGTATGGAAAAGAAAATTTAAAAGGTACAAGGAAACCCTCTCCTAATTTAGAAACAAGATTTTTTAAAAAAATGTATAGTTGTAACAACTAGTATAATCTTTTATTAATGTACTACCCCATCTTATTTTGTAGTTTTGACAGATCTTCTAGATGCCATGCACATTCTTAGGGAAAAATATGGTATTAAATCCCATTGTCATTGTACTAACAAACAGAATTTACAAGGTGGAAATTTTCCTGCAATGAATGGTGTATCTCAAGTGAGTAAAAGTTTCTAATTATTCAAATAAAATTTTTGGTTAAATTAATAAACATTGATACTTGAAATTCAACTTGGGACTTGTGTTTTATGAGTTACATTTTTTATGTTACTGTGTATATTCCTAATAACTTTTTCGCTCTGAATCTTGAAGAACTAATGGTAAAAGATTCACTTGTTTGGCCCTTGTAGGTTTTACAGAATGTTCTTAATCACAGTAGTAAAATATCTCTGTGTGTGCCGGAGTCTGAGCAGCAGAATATTCCTGAGAAGTCTGAGGCTAGTGGTAACAGCAGCCCAAGGAGTGACGTCAGCACAGAGAGCAAGTTAACACCTCCAGAGTCCCAGTCACCACTGCACTGGTTAGCAGATCTTGCAGAACAAAAAGCCAGGGAAGAAAAAAAAGGTAAATATGGCAAGATACGTAAGTGCATACTAGAGGATTATAGTTTAACGAAATACTATTAGTCTTTTTTACTTGAATGACATTTACATCCAATAAAAACAGTTGTGTGCTCATTAGTAACTTGCCTTCCTATGACTGCATTAAAGTTAATCATTTGTTGATGAGCATTTAAATAAAAATGAGCAGTGCATTAGATTTGTAACTTGCCTTTATTTTCTACTTTTTTCTACTATAGCATTTTGTATTTGTGACAGGTACAAAACCAACTACACCAACTACATGTGTTAAGATATCAAGAAAACTTTTTATGTTTTTTAAACCATTTCTCCATTTTAAGGCTTTGACTCATCCTGTGGTTTGTCCTCAGGTGAATCAGTCACTATTGCTATTGATCTTCTGTAATGTGTAGGGCGGTAGTTTTCTTTGTACTTCAGCACTGTGCTTAATTGCTAATATTTTGTGAAATGTTTTGCTTCAGAAAACAAAGATTTTGACCTTGATAAACAAATTAAAGAAGGGCGAGAACAAGACATCTCTGATTCTCCAAATGGCAGAACATCATCTCCTGTGTCTCAGAGTAATGAACAAGGTTCAACTCTGCGGGATTTGTTGACCACAACAGCTGGCAAATTACGTGTGGGCTCCACAGACGCTGGCATTGCCTTTGCTCCAGTGTATTCAATGGGAACTGCAGTAAGCATGATAGCAGATTTTCTATTTTCATATACAGCTTACATGTAGGTGAATTTAGACTTTACTGGCTGTGAACTAACTAGTAAATAATTACATTTGAAATCAAACAGTGGGGCCTTAATTGTGACATATTAAGTTGAGCCGCTGCCTGCAATGCTTGCATTCCATATGGTTTGAGATGTGGCTTTTGCACTTCCAATTCCACTCCCTGCTAATATACCTGGGAAGGCAACAGGATGGCTCAAGTCCTTGGACCCCACTATCCACTGGGCAGACCCCGAGGGAGCTCCTGGCTCTTAGCTTCACACCACCTCAGCTCCAATTGTTGAGGCCACTTAGAGAGTGATCCAGCATTAAAGATCGGTCTCTGCCTCTGTAACTCTGCCTGTCAAATGGACAAATCTTTAAAAAAGAAGAATCAAATCAAATTTGTTGGGCTGGTGATGTGGTGCCTCAGGTGAAGCTACTGCCTGTTGTACTGACATCTCATACTAGTAAAGGTTCAACTCCTGCTTGCTTTGCTTCTGATTCTAGCCTCCTGCTAATATCCATTGGGAAATACGAGATAATGATCCAAGTAATTGAGTCCCTGCAACCCACATGGGAAGTCTGTATTGGTTTTTCCTGAATCCAGCCTGACTGTTGTATGCATTTGAGAAGTAAATCAGTAATGGAATATCTGGCTTTTTCTGTCTTTCCCCACTGTTGTTCTGTGTGTGTGGCTTTGAAGTAAATAGATTTTCTAAAAGCAAAGTTTCCTTATTCAGCTAATACAACTGCATGTTTGTTAATGAGGTATATTGTAATTTTCTTTTTTTTCTTTCTGTGCTAGTGGCAAATCAGTTTTAAAAAATAATAGATTATGGGAAAATAATAAGTTGATTTACTCTCAAAATATAATTTCTTAGAAAGTTAATCTTTTTTCCTTAATAGAGTGGCAAAAGTGGACGGACTATGCCCAACATTCTGGATGACATCATTGCTTCAGTTGTTGAAAACAAAATTCCACCAAGTAAATCCTCCAAGATAAATGTAAAACCAGAGCCTAATGAAGAACCCAAAGAAAGCAAAAAACCTGCTGTGAATGAAAACAATAAATTGTATAGTGATATACCACATTCTTGGATCTGTGAGAAGCATATTTTATGGCTTAAGGATTATAAAAATAGTAATAATTGGAAGCTTTTCAAAGAATGTTGGAAACAAGGACAGGTGAGTATTTTTAGCTAATTTGATACATTCTTGGTGGTACTGAAGCTGATGAAATTGACAAAAATGTTTCCTTTCTTGGTACTTGGGAAATTGGGAAGGGGAAAACAGGAGATCAAAAACATTGAAAATCTTACCAGAATGATTATTTAACTTCTAGGATTTTATTGCCAGACATGTATGAATCATCAGGAAAATACTCATGATATATATTTTTAATATTTCCAATGAACATTTAACAATGTCATATTTGCAAAATTCTTTTCTTTAGATTTTCAATAGAAAATCTAATAGAATAATTTTTCTTGAATCAGTAAGTGTGTAAATGTTTTTGCCTTTATAAATGGGTTCATCAAATCTTGAGTAAGAAGCCTCATTATGTCATTATTCCCCCCCAAAAAATTATTTTTGTTTTACATAAGTTTTGATACGACTGATGTATTTTCAAATAGAAGTTCACTACATTAATGCCAAAATTATGAACTATTTTAAGTATTTGTATGAAAGTAGTATATTCCATTTATTTCATGCCTTCTGGAAACCATCTGTGTTCTTTTACTATGTCCACTCAGCATATCTAGTAAAATCTGGTTTTTGTGCTACACATCAAGATATTCAGAGAAGTAAATGAGAACTATATTTTAATTCTTTTGGATCAGTGATCCCTTTGAAACTATGCTAAAAATTTCATCTTTCTGCAAAAATTAGTTTGTGAATTTATGTACATGCCAGATTTAGCTTTTCTTAAGAATTTAAAGAGTTAGAGAGAGACAGAGAGAGGGAAAGATCTTCTGTCCACTGGCTATACCACAAAGCCAGCCATAGATTTAAGGTTTTTTTCCATTAGGTTTTCTTGAATCCTTAATGTTATTTCTGAGCCAGAATTTAAACCATGTAATGAATTTGTATGAAACTCTGAGGTGTAGTATTAGGTAAACTGTCACCTAAACATTTTCAGAAATATGTTAATTGTTCAGGGTTGTGCACTGTGGCCTGGCAGGTTAAGCAGCAGATGTATGGCAACAGAGTATGACCCTTGCCTGGCCTCCCTTATCTGGGAGTGTCTGGTTTTGGCCTCACCCAGAACTGGCCTTTTCAGCTATTTGGGGGGACAGACTTGTCATGAGAAGATCTCTGTCTTTTTCTGTAATTATCAAATAAATGAATGAATAAATCTTTTAAAAATTAAGTATGCTAAGTATTCTAAGAACTTCAAGCAAGGTGCAGTGGAAACCCAGAGATGGGAATGGGTACGCCAGGGTAGTTGTTCCAGAAGGCTTGTCTGAATTGAATCCTTAGTGGTTAGGTGAAGTTGTGCTACACCAGTCAGAGGATTGACATGCTTAGGGAATTCTAAGTAGATTTGTGTTACTAGAACATAGATGAGGGTATATGAGAAAGTTGTGGGAAAAAAGAAGTGAGTCAGGGATATGATTATAGATGGAAGTTATACATCATGTTAAGAAGTTTTTATTTTACACTATCTAAAAATTTAGTCCTTTTAATCTTCTGATTACCATTCAAAAATAAGGAGCTGGATATAAGCATTATTATTTAGGCACTAGGAATTAGTGTATGCATTACCAGCGGTAATTATTTACTCTAATAGCTTAAAGAGTTTAAAAGAGTTGTTTAGAAGCGAGTTTTAAGATTTGTCTGAATATTTTCCCTTGAATTCACATAAGTAATTTATATTTTGTCTATGAAAAAATAAAGAGTGAATGAATCTAAATAAAACAACCCAAAAACTCCTATTTCTACTCCCAATGAAATTTGTAATATAGTATTCTGTTGCCAAAATGTCACTATACTTCACATTCATTCACTTCCTTTTCTTTACCATCATATGGTAATGATATTCCCAAGATATATGTCATTGTTATTCTTTTCCATGATATAGCTTTGTAGAAAAAGGAGTTCTTCCCTCCTGATTTTCTACTCTTATCATTTTCCTCCCAAATTATAGTAGTATACTTCCTTAGTGACAGTTACAAGTTTTACTTTCTCCTATTTAAATGTATCATGGCATAAGCAAAGTTAGGAAATCTAGTATCATGCTATAAAGATATACTTTAAATGCCTTATTGGGAGTCCTACTTTTATTTGGGAGTAGCAGCACATACTGCAGTGTATGTTAACTTATTGCAATGCCAGACTCAATTTTTATCTAATTCACCTATAAGAATGTATGTATATAGTTGATTACCTATATCTATTTACTTTGTACTTTGCACTAATGCTAGCTTATATCACAGAGAACATAATATATATTTGCTTTTAGAACTGGCTTATTTTACTAAGCATTACTGGTCTGCAGTTGGGACCATTTGCTGCAAATAGTATTTTTTAAATGCTTTTTTTTGTACTCCAAAGTTTTGTTCCTGGGACTAAAGTTTAATATGTTAACCATTTGTTGTGTGTTGTTTGTAAAGTAAAATTTTGAAGCCTCCATATACTTCTGGATTTGTTACTTACATATTTAATGGTTGGTTGGTCCCAAGCCTGCAGTGGTGTCCGGTGTTCATAAGAAAATGAACATAAGCTTATGGAAGGCCGACTCCGTTAGCCTTGATTTTGGAGATCACCAGGCTGATCTGCTGAACTGCAAAGACAGCATTATTTCAAATGCCAATGTTAAGGAATTCTGGGATGGTTTTGAAGAAGTTTCAAGTATGTTGGTTTGTTTCTTCATTTGTTTGTTTTCTTTAATTTTACTGTTCGTTAAAACATGTACTCCTAAAATGATACTTTAAGTTTTTAGACCTTTTAGACTTTGAAACTGAATAAGACTATTGCTAAAGAATATTAGAATAATATAGAATGATTAAATATTGTTAACTTAATTGAGGAAACAAAATACTGGGTGCTAATCCTGGCTCATACTATTAGTTTTTTTGACACAAAAAAGGTATTTATTATATATGGGCAGATTTTTTATAATGCATAAAATTGTGAAAATTGTATCATGTATTTACAACAATGAAAATGAAAAGGATAAATTTAAGATTGTAATGCTACTTGTAAGGAGTCTTTCATTTTCAAGAGTTTGAGTTCATTTTCAAGTGGATAATGCAGTATATCCTATTTAAGTACAAAAGAAAAAGTTTGGATGCTGTATGAGAACCTAAGGAGTAAAAATGCTAAAACATTTACTATACAGTCATCAGATCATACATTTATATTTCCTACTCTCCAAATGTGAAATGAAATAAAAACAGATTATCATTACTAATTAACTGCATTCTTTATAGAACGACAGAAAAACAAAAGTGGGGAAACAGTTGTGTTAAAATTGAAAGACTGCCCTTCAGGTGAAGACTTCAAGACTATGATGCCAGCAAGGTATGTCTTTATAAGCTTAACTCTTCTTAAGTTAAGCAAATAACTTCCCAAGGGGTACGATAAGTAATTACAGATGTAAATTTTAGACCTTTTCGTCTTAAGAAATAAAACTGAATCTTAGTGATTTCAACATTAGGAAGAGTTTTGTTTTTGTTTTGTTTTAAATTTTGAATTTCTTGGTACAACTTTTTATAGTCTGGGATTCTCCCTCCCAACAATTTCTATCCCCCGACTGATTTCCCCACATCAACACAACATTACATTCCTTTATAAGGAGTCACGGTTCCATCAGTCTGCTGTTTAAGTGTGCCCCGACATTGCTAGTACAGACAATGTCAGGCAGCCTATCATCTCATTGTCTAGATATGTCCAACACTTTCACTGGGCGTCCATCTTCAACCAGAAGCAGGGGTGCATGTTGCACTGTGCTCCCACAGCTGGATATGGTAGCCTCCACTACTCCATCATCATACATTCCAATTTTCATGATGGCTTCCTTATATTAGAGAGCATATGATATTTTTCTTTTTTGGATTGACTTATGAGCATAATGGTGTCTGGTTGGGACCATCCAGTTGCAAATGGTATAATTTCATTCTTTTTAATCATTGAGTAATATTCCATGGAATACCATAATTTCTCTAATCACTACTCTTTAGGTGGACATCTGAATTGTTGCTGTGTCTTTACTATTATAGATTGTGCTGTTGTAAATATAGGATGACAGATCCCCTTCTCATATGCAGTTTTCCTTTCCTTTGGATATATTCTTAGAAGTTGAATAACTAAGTTATTTTTCTTTCTTTCTGCCTTTTTTTTTTTTTTTTAGAAATGCAGATTTTATAGAGATAGGGAGAGTTGACAGTTCTGCTGATTCATGCCCCCAAATGACCACAGTGGGCAGAGCTGAGCTAATCCAGTGGTGGGAAGCAAGAGCTTTTTCTAGGTCTACCACATTGGTGCAGGGTACTAAGGACTTGGGCCATCTTGCACTGCTCTCCTGAATCAAAGTGGCATGCATATGGGATGCTAGCACTTCATTGCAGAGGATTGGCCTTCTCTACACCCTGTTTGTTCCCATAGGGATGTTTTTATGGTTTTGTTCAATAGCATAGAGTATGAGATGTATCCCATATAAGAGAGCTCCGTGCTTGTGGCCTGGAAAACCAGTATAGGATGGCCCAAAGCCTTGAGACCCTGCACCTTTGTGAGAGACCCAGAAGAAGCTTATTGCTGCTGACTTCAGATTGGCTCCAGCCATTGCGACTACTTGGGGAGCAAACCAGCAGATGAAAGATCTTTTTGTATCTCCTTCTCTCTGTATATCTGCCTTTCCAATAAAAATAAAGGTAAAAAATATTTTTGAAAAAATGGTACAATGGTTAAGATGTGCTTGGGAAGCACACATCTCATATTGAAGTCCCTGATTTGCTGCTTCCTCCTTATCCTTTATACTAATAATATTCTGGCAAGCACTCTCTCTCTCAATGCCTTTCAACTGGAACAAAAATAAATAAAAGGAAAAATAAAAGAAAGTAATCTTGTTATTCTTCAGGTATGAGGATCTTTTAAAATGCCTACCATTACCAGAATACTGTAACCCAGAGGGAAAATTCAATTTGGCCTCTCATTTGCCAGGATTTTTTGTGCGCCCTGATTTGGGACCCAGATTGTGCAGTGCCTATGGTAAGTGTATAATCAGATTTCTGTCCAAAGATAAACACTCTGGTAGTATTTAATTTCTAGTAAATCTGTTGTTTGAATAGGACATTTAAATCCATTTTTGTAAGTAGTTTAACAGCTAACAGCCTATTAAGTACCTACCAACTCATTGCACTGAAAAATATTTACATCTTATTATGCCTTTTAGGGACGGGTTTTTTTTTTTTTTTTTTGCAACAAGATACTAAAATGCAAGTATAAATTGATAAATTATTCTGATAGAGCTAATTTGGGGAATACCTGATATTAGAAACATTTCTCAAGTGAAATTTTATTTTTTATATACAGGTGTAGCTGCTGCTAAAGATCATGATATAGGAACAACTAATCTCCATATTGAGGTTTCTGATGTTGTAAACATTCTAGTCTATGTTGGCATAGCAAAAGGAAATGGCATTCTCTCAAAATCAGGTAAAGAAATATACTGTAGTCTTTGGAATAAGAGTTGAATATTCACGTAAACAGTTGCAAGGGATATAGAAGTCATCTGTTAGTTGAAGGTTAATTTTCTTTCTCTTCTTTATGTAAAAATAATTTTGCAGATATTTTTATTCATTAGGTTTGTGTTATGAACATACAAAAGCAAACCACATTCAAGACTTTTGTATCGCATTGCCTCTGCCCTTGAGTAACCAGTGTCACTATTACTTACTGCCTCTTCCTCAAAGATCAATCTTTGCTTCTGACATATTCAAGTCATGGACATGTGTTTGTACATTTTCTCCTTTATGTACACTTTCTGAGAAATTCTGTGCATCATGTCTAGCCTCTGCTGAGATCACTGCTTTTTGTAGGAGACCAGGGATATAGGGATTCATTGTAGTATTCCTCTAATGCACTCTTGAACTAAGCTTAATTTTCTCTCAGCTCCTTTAACTTACACTATTGAGTATCACACATAACCTCACCTCCACCTCCACCTCAAGAGGTTTCACCATCACTGGCACACTTGAGTCAAGGTCCTGGGTTGAGCATAGAAATATGTAATCTGTGGTTCAGATTATTTATTCTTTGTAAGCCTAAAATGCTATAATTAGTTATCTCTTTTTGTATATTATATTTTTACCTCATTGTATTTTGGTCAAATCACCCCTGTAAAACTTCTAAATATATGTTATACCTGCCTTTCCTACATACCCCTCACCCCCAGTTACTTTGCATAGTATTTGGTCTAATGAAAACACTTGAAAAGGGGGAAGAGCCTGGTGCAGTAGCCTAGCAGCTAAAGTCTTTGCCTCGCACACACAGAAATCCCATATCGGCACCAGTTCGTATCCCAGCAACTCCACATCCCATCTAGCTCCCTGCTTGTGGCCTGGAAAAGTAGTCAAGAATGGTCCTGAACCTTGGGACCCCGCCCCCACATGGGAGACTCAGAAGAAACTCCTGGTTCCTGGCTCCTGGCTTCTGATCAGCTCAGTTCCGGCCATTGTGACCACTTGAGCAATGAATCAGCAGATGGAACATCTTCCTCTCTGTCTCTCCTCCTCTCTGTATATCTGACTTTACAATAAAAAGGGGGAGTGGAGTGAGAAACAAAAGACTTAGTATTTTACTTCAAAATCTGAGATACAGAGAGGGAGAGATCTCATGTGCTGGTTCACTACAGCCAAAGCTAAGCCGGTCAAGAAGCTTCTTCCATATTTCCCACACATGATCAGAAGTCCAAAGCCTTGGGACGTCCTTTGATAGAGTCCCAGGCCATTAGCGGGGATCTGGATCAAAAGTGGAGCAGCAGCGGTTTGAACTGGTGCTCATGTGATGCTAGCACCATAGGCAGAGGATTAATATGCCACACCATTGTGCTGCCCCCCCCCAAATACTCCTCATCTAAATGTTCTGTCACATATAGAAGCATTTTTTTAAGAGTTTTATTTTAATTGGAAAGCCAGATATATAGAGAGGAGAAAAGACAGGAAGATATTTTGTCCATTGATTCACTCCCCAAGTGGCGACAACAGCTGAAGCTGAGCCAGTCTGAAGCAAGTAGCCCAAAGTCATCTCCAGGTCTCCTATGTGGTTACAGGGTCCCAAGGCTTTGGGTCATTCTCAACTGTTTTCCCAGGCCATAAGCAGGGAGCTGGAAGGGAAGCGGGGCTGCCAGGATTGGAACCTACACCCATATGGGATCCTGGTGAGTGTAAGGCAAGGACTTTAGCCACTAGGCTACCACGCCAGGCCATGTTTCACACTGGTCTTAAAGCACATCAAGAATGTCAATGGGCCAAAAAAGCACATAGTTTTCCTCCACTGAAGTGACTGCCTTCTTGTCTCCTCAGCAAACACCTGTATGCATCCTTTAGAATGTAACTCTGATTACCGTCTTCCCCTAGAGGTCCTCGTTAAACAAGTAGACTTTACTCTATCCACGCGTCTCTTCCTTAAGATCCATCTACCCCTTTGCTTCTAAATGTATAAAGCATTAAAATTTAGAGAAAATCGGAAAGCCAATCCAAGCTTGCAACAAAATTCTGTTTTGCTAATATATTTGGAAACCATTAACTCATTTGAAAGGAGAACATTTTATTTGTTTAGAGGAGAAATTTTTTTTCCAGATCTAACTTATGTACCACATTGTTGTATTTGTGTAGATTCACTGATTCATGAAATCATGGAGTTGTTGGCTAGATATTTCATAAGTCCAATTCCTCAGCATCATAGGGCAATGTCTGGCACATAGTAAACACTTAGTAAATGTTGGAAGTAAAAATTCTTTGCAGGCAAGTTTGAGTGTTAAAGAAAAATTTACTCTTAAAATATGAAGAAACAACTGATAGATCTTTTGTAGCAATCAATAGTAATAACTTTCTGTTACAGAATGTAGTGTAAAATGTTTAATAAAATATAATCAGTAAGACTAAAAGACCCTTTTGTGGTTCATATGTAGAGATAAAATATGTGTCTGCCCTTGTGTTTTGGTTTGCAGACATTTTAGAAGGACGGCCTGATGTTTCTTCATAAATAGTTTGTTGTTTGTGAAGCTTTTACCTTTGATAACCTTCAAATTTTAGATCCCATAGAAATTAATCCACTGGTTTTCACCTGCAATTCAGTAATCACGCTACTGAACTTTTGTGCTCAGTTAAAAAATAGAAGTTGTGTCTTTGCCTTATTTACAAGTTGTAAGGGCCAACTAATTAAAAACAGTCACAAAAGTCCTTTGCAAGTTACAAAATGTGAGTCTGTATCATTGTTATAGCTACCCCCTAAGGTCACATAGCAAATTGATTACATTTGAGTAGAAGCTCTTCAGTTTCTTTGGCTCCATGGTTTGTGGAAAATAATCTAGAAGAACAACTTGCACAAGAGACAAGCTCTCTAGTTCTCTGCTCTTATAATTCTAACAGTCTGAAATATGTAGTTGGGGCTGCCTACTCATTGTTCCAGGGATCCCATGTTTTAATACAGCAGGTTAAAGCTGCCAGCTACAATGCTGGCATCACAAATTGTAGCTCTCCAGTTCAAGTGTTAGCTATTTCACATCTGATCCCGTTGTAAGCAGATGCTCCTGGAAAGTAGTGGAAGATGACCCACATGCTTGGCCCCTGCCACCTAAATAGAAGATCCAGATAGATTTCCTGGCTTCCGGTTTTTTCTTGGCTCAACGTCAGCCATGCATTTATTTTGGGTTTGAACCAGCAGATGGAAGATACTAGTCTCTCTCTGTAACTGCCTTTCAAACAAATATTTAAAAAGTTTAAAAGGGTATCAGTCCTGTTGTAGTAGGTTAAGACCCACTCTTGGATGGCCCATCTGGCTTCACCCTGGCCCAGCCCTGCCTAGTGTGGGCATTTTGAGAAGAGTGTCCCAGTAGCTGGAAGATTTTTCTCTTTTGCGTGTCTCCTCCTGCTGTTGTCTTTCACCCTGCCTTTTAAAGTAGATAGAATCAGTTTTTGGTTTTTATTTAACTAAGAAGAATCTTGATCCAGTTTAGCACTCTGCTGCTATTATAGATCTTAGCTTTCTAAGCAATGTTGATTGACCATTTTGAAAATATTCTCCTGCTTCAGGAATACTCAAGAAATTTGAGGAGGAAGATTTGGACGACATTTTAAGGAAACGATTGAAGGACTCAACAGAAACACCTGGTGCTTTGTGGCATATTTATGCTGGGAAGGATGTTGACAAGATAAGGGAATTTCTTCAAAAGGTAGAATTTAAGTTACAAATATTTATCTCTTCACCTTTGTCAAATAATTTGTTATCACAACTTGATTTGCATTCAGCAATATGAAAATTGTAATTTTTACTTCCAATTAAATGGAAGGTTTTGTTTGTGGTAGGTTTGTTTTTATTTGAAAAGTTCATTTTACAGAGAAAAGATAGAGAAAGAAATGGACCAAAGCCAGAGGCTTTTTCCAGGTCCTGGACGTGGGTTCAGGGCCCAAGGACTTGGGCCATCCTCTGTTGCTTTCCCAGGCACATGGTAGGGTACTGGATCAGAAGTAAGGCAACTGGGATACAGATCAATGCCCACATGGGATACTTGCACCACAGGTAGAGACTTCGTTTGCTACACCATGGCGCCAACCTCCAGGATATTCTTTATTTTTCAAATCTGATATTTTTGGCTGTTGGCTTAGGTAGTGATTTTGCTCTATTGCGTCTGTTTGTGATTGTTCCTACTTGAGTGAACTGTAGTTCTCAATAGTCATATTCTGAGTTTTGAGACAGTAAGCTGAAATAATAGAAAATTGACACCCACAATAACTGGCTCAAACCCTTTACTTAAAATTGTTTTTGGGCCTGGCACAATGACATAGTGGTTAAAGTCCTCACCTTGTATGCACCAGGATCCCATATGGGCACAGCTCCACTTCCCATCCAGCTCCTTGCTTGTGGCCTGGGAAAGCAGTCGAGGACAACCCAAAGCCTTCAGTCCCTGCACCCGCATGGGAGACCTGGAGTTGCTCCTGGCTCCTGGCTTTGGATTGGCTCAGCTCCAGCCGTTGCGCTCACTTGGGGAGTGAACCATCAGATGGAAGATCTTCCTTTCTCTCCTCCTCTCTGTATATCTGCCTTTCCAATAAAAATAAATAAATCCTTTTTTAAAAAAGACTGTTTTCTAAGTTTTGTATTATGGGGATTTGTTTTTATCATTTTTCTTTAAAAAAGATGTCACTCTTTGGAAAGGTGATAACAAGAGAGAAAAATGACAGAGACCAGGTTTTCTATATGGGTAGCAGAAACCCAAGTATGTGGGCCATCTTTGGACACAGAAGTTTGTGTCATTTGGGAAATGAACAAGCCACTGGAAGAGCAATCTTGCTTCATCTTTCTTCCCCACCCGCACCCCCCCCCCTTTTTTTTAAGATTTTTTTTTTATTGGAAAGTCAGATATACAGAGAGGAGGAGAGACAGAAAGATCTTCCTTTCTTTTAAGGTGTATTTAGTTTTTATTGGAAAGGCAGGTCTGATTTACAGAAACATAAAAGAAACATCTTCATCCACTGATTCACTCCCCAAGTAGCCACTACAGCCAGAGCTGAACTGATCCAGAGCTTTCGGCCTCTTTGACTGCTTTTCCAGGCCACAAGCAGGGAGCTGGATGGGAAGTGGGGCAGCTGACCAATGAATCAGGACCCAGATAGGATGCCTGCACTTGCAAAGGGAAGATTAGCCAGTTGAACCAACGCACTTTGTGTTACTCTGCCTTTCAAATTAATAAACAGTCTTCAAAAAAAAATTAAAGAATTATTCTATCTAAGTGGAAGTAGTTATCCCTGTGCCTACCTTAAGAAAAAAAAAATGGGAGATCAGGTATGGCAGGGCCAAATAAAGTTTCTGAAATGCTGGCATCCCATATGGGTGCCAGTTCAAGGACTATGGCACTTGTGATCCAGCTCCCTGCTAACAGTACGCCTGAGAAAGCAACTGAAGATGGGCCAAGTGCTTGAGCTTCTGTGTGGGCTCTACACTTCAGCCTGGTCCAGTCCTGGCTGTTGAGGTCCTTTTGGGAGTGAACCAGATGTATTTCATAAAAGAGTGATGCTAAGCCTTCTCTCATTTGTATATGTTGCTCTTGAAAAGATTACAAGGAAGGAAATCAGATTGAAATTTGATAGTGAGGGACATTTAAGATCCTTTGGCTTTTCAGATTTGTGTATAATATTATAAATCACTTCATAAGAAATTCTGAGGACAAAATATTTGTATTGCTACAAATAAAACTGAAATTTAACTACAGTAAAATCTGCCCTTTCTTAGAGAAATTTTATGTTAATCCATATTTCAGATTTCAAAAGAGCAAGGCCTTGAAGTTCCCCCAGAACATGATCCAATACGTGACCAAAGCTGGTATGTAAACAGAAAGCTCCGCCAAAGGCTGCTTGAAGAGTACGGAGTCAGAACTCGCACTCTGATTCAGTTCCTTGGTGATGCCATTGTTTTACCTGCAGGCGCACTACATCAGGTATGTACAGACTTCTAGAGTATCTACCTAAAAGCAATAATTTTTTAGAATTAAGCCTTACTATAGGTGTACTCATAAATTAATGAAGACATGGCAGAATGTACCAGCATGCTTATCAAATCTCTGAAATGGCATTCCTGTGCTTGAAAAAAAAAATCAGCAAAAAATAACTATTGGAGCTTAAATTGTCTTAAGTATAAGCTAGGTATCGATTCATATATTGTGCCTGATTTAATGGACTGAAGTCCAACATTTCTTTTAGGGGATCTATAGAAAGTTACAATCATAATAGGCTGTGGACAGCTCAGTGTATTTAAATGCCCCCTTAGAAAACAGCCTCTTCAAGGCAATTTGTACTGTAAATCTCTTTGTAAGTAGTACGTTTAGTAGTGCAAAATAAATTTTGTAGAAAATTCTTATTCAAATTCAGTGGAAGTCAACTTCATGCTGAACACTACGGTTACTTTTTAAAAATAAGTGTAATTTACCTGCAATAATATGTACTTCCTTTTAGATTTTATAAAACAAGTAATATAATCAAAATATAGGCTAGTTTCTTCATGTTCTTCTACAAGTTTTTCAAGTTCTGTTCTCATGTGGTTTCTGTAACCCTTATCTTTTTTTCTATAGATTCTTTTTGTAAGAAAATGTTACATAATATATATTCTTTAAGTCTACTTTTTCTCACCTAATACATTTGAAATTCATCTATGGTGTATTAATTGTTTCCATTGCTGAGTAGTTAGTTCATTTCACATATTTTTTTTTTCCATTAAAAAAAGTACTTGTTTATACAGTCAGCTAAAGAAGTATATCATGACTAGGTTTATAATTTGGGTTATTAACAAATGAAGGGACTATATAAACATTCAGGTTTTTGTGTAAATACAGGTTTCATTTATGTTAGGTAAATATTGAATAGTGGGGCTTGAGTGCCCTTATGATAATTATTTGATTGGTTATTTGAAAGTCACATGTACAGAGAGATAGAGAGGAAGATCTTCTGTCCATTGATTTCACTCCCTAAGTGACTGCAACAGCCAGAGCTGAGCCAATCCAAAGCCAGGAGCCCAGAGCCTCTTCTGGGTCTCCCATGGGGGTGCAGGTTCCCAAACCTTTGGGCCATCCTCGACTGCTTTCCCAGGACATAAGCAGAGAGCTATATGGGAAGTGAAGCTGCTGGGATTAGAACCGGTGCCCATATTGGATCCCAGCATGTGCAAGAAGAGGACTTTAGCTGCTAGGCTATCATGCCGGGCCCTATTCTTTTTTTCTTGTTTCTGTCACTTGTTGCTGTCACTTTGGTTTCTTAATCATTCTTGTTTGTGTGCAGTGGTAACACTGGTTTCAATTTGCAGTTTCTTCTTGAGTAAATATGTTTAACAACTTTTGATTAGTTTTACTTGCCACCTATTTCCTTTAACTGTATTTTTATATATTTGGTTCATTTAAATTTTTTAGATTATAAATTTAAATTATAAAGTAGGTGTTCTTTATTCCAGACAAGTCCTTTACCTGATATATTTTACAAATACTGTTCTCAATATGTTGATTACCTTTTCATTATCTTATGTTTCAAAGAGCCAAGGTTGCTATGTTTGTTTTCATCCTAATGAAGTCCAGTTGTTTAATTCTTCTTTTATGGTTCATGGTTGTGGTCTGCTTGAAAACTAAACTTTATCCTCAAGCCTAATTTAAGCATATCCACAGGTGGGGATCACTAGAAAACATGATGGCATCTTGTAATAAAAGTCACTTAAGAGTCATTTAAGTCATATATATATATATATATTCGTTCCAGAATTTAAGAATCCAGAACTCACAGCAATTAAAAAACTACTTAATGAAAAAAGTCACTTTGTGTTGTTTTGAAGAATAATGTTAGGTTCGTGGCTGACCACTAGGACACAGATTTAAGTGACCATAACCTAGAAAGGAATAGTAATTTTCACAAGTGAAGGGGTGAGAGGTTTACTTAGCCAATTTGAAAGAAAATTACCTAAGAAAAAGGTTCACATTACTTAAATCCTGTCTAACACTCTGAACACAGCCAATCTCGTCTAACTTGAACGCTAAGCAGAGGCAAAGCCTGGCTACCAAAATTCTAGGGTAATTCTAAAACTTATTTGTGGTGAGTGGGTCTGTCTGAAACTGATTTTCATCCCTAGTTCGTAAAAAAAAAAAACTATTAAATTTCATTTCCTTTTTTCACTCTCTAACATAACAATTAACAGTGAAGTGACTTTTTGACTGCCTGAGGAGCAACAACAAACCTACTCCGATTAAGTGCCCTAATAGATTCTTTGCAGTTCTTGGCTTCTTAAAGAAACAACAGAAAAATCCATCTTGAATTTAGGATCTGATTTCAACATTTCCACAGAATTCCTGGAAAAGTTCTTTTTGTCATTTAAGAATATTTATGCTCACTTTACTCTTTGATCTTCTATTTTATAATTCATTTATTATTTTGGAGAAAAATGATCCAACATAAATGTCCCTGTAATTAATGGTTTTAGCTAAGTTGGCTTTTCTTTACTCCCTCCTAAAGTTTGTTATTTCATGGTTTCTCTTTTGGGGACAGGTACAGAATTTTCACAGCTGTATTCAGGTAACTGAAGACTTTGTGTCTCCAGAACATCTGGTACAGTCATTTCATTTAACACAAGAGCTGAGGCTTTTGAAAGAAGAAATCAATTATGATGATAAGCTACAGGTAAGATACGGGTGTTCCTGCCAGACCCCATTATGCTGGTCTCTCATATTCAAACATACGATGTATACCTAACAGCTTACATGGTCATCGTCTAGTTTCACATTAGGATAACAACCAAAACTGCATAACAACATGTATTTGATTATGTTAATTTCAGTGGCATTTTAACTTTGCATTTATTACCACTGAAAACATTGATATTTTCCTTTGGTTTCCCTTTGGTCCCCATTTAAAAATTTTTTTTAATCTGGTAGTTACCATTTATTAATGTTGATATATCTCATGTAATTGGCTGTGTTAACATCTTTTTCAGGTTAAAAATATCTTGTATCATGCAGTCAAAGAAATGGTGAGAGCTTTGAAAATACATGAAGATGAAGTGGAGGATATGGAAGAAAATTAAGTCTTGTCCAGTTTGATGGTTTTAGACTGTTGAACTGGTATTACTTATTCTTGAATGAGAGGATGTATGCACACTGACTTAAGCTTCATAAAACCATCAGTGCCAAGAAATTCTCTTTGTAGTAATTACTTGTTACTGACACCGCAGCAGTATAGCATTATGTCACAGCTACTGTGATTGAATGTTAGTTATAAAACAAGATAAATTGGGGGGGGGACGGGAAACAGCCCTACATAGCTGTTTCTGTATTATAGTGTATATGATGTTTGTGAAAATGCCAGATTTAAAATGATGTATTTATTTTTGGTAAAAAAAAAAAAAATACTAAATTCTATGCTATATTGTTGATCAAGTGTAAATGTGACCTTGTACAGTTTACTAAAATAACCAATATTTTTCACTACATTGAGACAGTTACTGTGAGAATAGGACACAAACACCAGCTATTGCCTGCATTTGGGAAATTGCTGAATCGCACAGCAGTCATGTTGTAATCAGAAAATTACTGCCAAATAACTGTAAAATTTGTAAGATAAAAAGTGTATAACGTAGATACTAAATACAGACTCTTCAATATTTTGTTGAAGCTATTGACTGTACAATTAAACATTTTCAGAAGGTGTAATTTATTTAAAATTGTCTCATTTTGGTAAAATTTATGTGAACTTTTAAAGCTAAATATTAAACTTAATATGCTATGTAAATATATACATATATACATTTAATGATGTATTTTTTTAAAACATTGGCTTGCTTTTGTTAAAGTGCAAGTGTTACATATGGCTTTGTACATTAAAGTTGAAAGGGGTTTTACATTTTCCATTAAAAAGACTTTTATCAAAAATTGGCTTGCTCTCCAGTTGTCCCTCTTTTACACATGCATACTCCTTGTAGAGAAGACTCCAAGCCTGAAGCCAGGCTCAGACCAGAAGTTCTCTTAGTCACTGCATGACCAGGGCAAATTTATTTGTGAGTTGGTTTTAATGCCAGACTTTGGCAACTTGTATGCCCTCCACTGACACTTGCAGGTTGGTTCTTCCACAAACTATACTGATCACCATATTGTGCTTAATCTTTTTTAGCTATGTGTAGGATGCTATGCCACCTTCCACCCAGCAGTGACATTTCACACTCACTCTGCACACCATAAGCAAGGGTTAACATTAGATGGTGATTATTTTGAGGAGGAAAATTGGGCTGAGGATTTTCAAATAATTAAGTGGCTATTTTGGACCAATTTTTTCTGTGTGGTTTAATAGGCTGTTTGGTGGCCTATAATAAACAAATTTGTAATAAAAAGCAAATTTGCATATTCAGAAGATTGTTACAGCTTAACTCACTGCCACAAAAATTACTCAAATCAAAGCTTTCTTAAGCCATTGGTTTCATATTTCAGAAACATCCTAGGATGTGAAGAATTTGTTGTCTGTTCAGTGGGTGTCACTGATTGGAGCCATCATTTGTCACTGTTCTTACGACCCCAGTGGTTAACGTCTTTTCTGTAGTGCTCTTGTGAGCCAGGGATTACTCCATGCCTGAACCTAACTCAGTAGAGAAGGACTGACTGATGTAAGGCAGCCAGCAACTGATGTGAACCCAATGTTTACCCTGACTGGAACACTACATAATGTGGACTTGTATTGAAATATCACATGGTACCCCATAAATACAACAGTTTATATCAGTCTAAAAAACTTTCATCCTATTTTCCCCAAATTTATCACGTTATAAAAAGGTGTAAATGAAGAGTCCCACTGATTTACCCCTCAAAAATGACCTCCATTACAGGTTTACTTCCCAGATCTTTTCTATGCATTTTCTGTTTGCATATATTTCTCTCTTTATATATTGTGTAAAAATTAATTTACCTGTTTTTATTTTTATTTAGAATTTTATGGTACAGTTCCATAGGTTCTGGGATTTCCTCACCCCCACCGATATACCTTTCTATTAACATTGCCATGTCTTCATAAAAATTTAATGAATATGTTTGTTAGTTTTGTATTATCACAAAGCAGTGATTAAGCAAAGCTGCATTTCAACAAAGCAGGAAAACTGACCAAGTCTTGCCCTCCACTTTGAATTATGAGCCTGTTCACTCTGTTGCCTGTGTTCCAGTAAATAAGTCTACATTTCAAAAATCCGATCAATACTTCAAGCATTGTATTTAGTCAACTTTAAAAATCAAAACAAGTACTTGTAGAATACTAACATTCCCAAAGTGATAGGTTTGTCAAAGTTATCAGAATAAAAGATGCTTCTATTGCCCAATTTAACATCTGTCTCCATAGAGCTTTATTTAGCATTGTCACTGAAACTAAAGGTTTTGTGGCTATGTTAACATCTGTTTCAAATAGCCTGGCTTGTCCCTCTGTAGCTGTTTCCTCATCCATAGGGAAAAACACATACAGCCAGAAAAACACTGGTGGCATGGAGACCACAGGCCTTAACTCATTAGTAGCAAGAATTTTCTTTAGGGGATTGACTTGGATGGAGCAAAGGGCTAGCAGTTTATCATTGGTCACCCTTGGACTAATATGCCTTGGAGCCTCTGTTTTCCTGTCTATGCTGGTTTTCAAGGTAATCTGTTTGTATCCGTGATTGATTTCCTCACGCTTTAGCCTAACACCACCTTAGTCCTCACCCTCTCTTTGTTTCTAACTGTGAACACAGTAAAGAAACAGGTACAGACTGGGTTCTTGCTAACTATGAGGGCCTGGTGTTTTCATTTTTGTTTTTAATTCAAGACCAGAACTTAACCCTGACCCCCTCACTTTTAGGAAACTAAAGTACAATTTACTTGGGCCTCCCTGAGTTCTTGCATGGTTACCATGACTCAATTCTGATCCAGTTTACTGAGTTATTCTAACTGCTTGCATCTTGTCCATGCCAGTCTTAGAATACCATTTCCCAATCCTTTCATCTCTGTTACTTCTTCCATACCAGCTATTTCATAGTTTTAGTGGCAGAAGTACAAGTGTTCATTAACTAGGTACTTATTTAATGGTGTCTATATAGATTACAGTAATTTGAACGGAAATATTTCTGCCTATGCATGGCTATATACTGCTTTTGCTGTAATTACTAGTGACCAACTAAGGGATTTTGTTTTCACGGTGTGCAGCCCCATCACATCCCCTTCCCAGGTCCCAAGCAAGTATCCAGTTCTCTGTAGCGGGACAAGAGGCCTGCTTGCTGCTCTACCTGCTGACTTCTCCAGCACACCACTCTCCTCAGATGTTCATGGTAACTTTTTAACCTAACCTGCAGGTAGGTAGAGGTCATACTTGCACACTGAAGAGCAGCCTTCAGGAAACTAAATTCAGGTACCAAGGCAGAACAGTCCAGCTCCGAAAACAAGCACACAAAACTATAGGCCCTGTCTGCAATAACCTGGTGGGGTAGTCTATTTAAGGACATTTCCATTCCAATCCCCTGCAGCCACTGGCATAGACTTCTTGAAGTGTATAGGAGAACAAATTAACCCTTCTGAGCCAAGCCCCCCCCAGAACAAGTTTCTTGCTGTCCACTAGATGGCAATATTGGGTAGAAATTGCTGCTAACAAGTTTACAAAGAATCTTAAGGCCACATACTCCTTGAATACATGACCAATTAGGCTGCTGGGATTGTGACAAAGTATCTTGGTAAATATCTTTTTTATCTTAAATTGATGACCACCTTGTCTAGAGTGATTCAAGAAATACTTACTACATTTTACATATTGGCTGTTCAAATAGATTACACAGGGTCCTAATTGCCTCATAATGTATTCACCTGTTGTCAAAGAATTTAGTCACAACTGATAGCAAATGAAAAGGGTTAATACGATATGGACATCTAAGGGCACGGTGGCCCAGTGGTTAAAACCCTCGCCTTACACGTGCTGGGATCCCATATGACTACCAGTTCCTGTCCCAGCAACTCTGCTTCCCTTCCAGCTCCCTGCTTTTGTCCTGGGAAAGCAGTTGACATCCCAAAGCCTTGGGGCCCTGTACCCGCATGGGAGACCCGGAAGAAGCTCCTGGCTTCAGATCGGCTCAACATCGGCCATTGTAGCCACTTGGGGAGTGAATCAGCGGACAGATCTGTCTCTGCTCTCTATGAAACTTTCCAGTAAATCTTAACAGTTTCCTGATTGTTTTTTATTTAAAACAAAAATGAACATGAAGATTTTTACTGCTAAACCTAAGAGACTCAGCTTTCGCCAGGAAGTCTCCATTCCTCAGAGATATCCTCAGACGGACACCAACCAGGTGGTCCTACAATTGAGCCCCATTCAGTCTACGTGTGGCTACAGCTAGCACTGACATCACAGGTTAAGGGCTCAATATTCAAGGCTGCTTCCATTTCATTAAAGTTCCAAGCGTGACCTGTGTTCTGACCAAGCACTTGTGAATCAAAGATTCCCATGACTGCCCTCTTTTTGCCCTCTTTTTGTTAGTTCACTTGCTTACGCAAAAAAAATTTACTACATTTATAAAATGACTTAAGTTGTGGGAAAGATGCATCTAAGAGTATCCACATTCTCTTTATTAAGTGCTTACTCATTTTTTAAGTTTAATTTTTTTAAAACTTTATTTTTGATGATGTTTACATAGTAGATCAGGGTGGGAAGGATCAAGTATCAGGGGAAAGTGGTTGAGATCATTGCTTCCAAATTTTCTTCTTCCTATATCTGGAGGAAGGGGGGAGATCAGGGGAGAAACCGCACTCAGCCTCCCAAATGCCTCAGTTCCCTGGGATGGATCGAAACAACTACCCAATATCAACCCAGGATCCCCGACACAGAGCATGTTCTGAGGGTTCTGCTTAAGTGGTTTCAGTAGTTCTGAAATGCTGTCGATCTCGCCGAACCAAGGATGACAGAATGTTTCAAGGTCTGTCAGCTGAGAGTCCATCTTAGTCTCCAGTCACCCAGTATCTGCGGTCAACGTTTGGCTGGGGTAGCTGACCAAATTCTTTCTGCCCTCCTTCCTCTGTTATGGTGCCAGACGTCCCCTGAAGGCCCCAATGGGCTGCCATATTCTCCATGGGCATCAGGGCATGCTGTCCACTGCTCTGTCTTAGCCACTGAGGAGGCCCAGTTCTGACCCATGCTCTCCAGTCAGTCCACAGATGATGTGACTCTCCGGATGGTTGGAATTCTGAGTCCAGTGGTTCTACTGGGGTGATTCCAGACCTGACTTGTGTGTGCTTACCAGTATGGGATCCAGCTCAGTCCATCACCTACATCAGCCTGCACATACTGCTAGTTGGAATTACTGGGCTTTATCTCCAGCCATGTGTCTCATGCAAACCAATTGCTGCCACGACTCAGCTCAACTCTGCCCACCACACACACCAGCAGGAACTCACCCCCAATGTCCCCCTAGTGGGCCCACCCAGCCCTGGTTCCTGTGCTTGCCAGTGGGAATTGCAGCACATCAGGGAAGTCCCTAGTTTCCTTACTTGGCCCATTCCCAGTCCTGGCTCTTGCACTTTCCAGGTGGCTCTGCAATTTAGTTTGACAGGACTTATCCCCAGTACACTCTACCCTCCTTATGCTCAGCAAACCCTAAGAGTTCAGGGATTTTTTTGAGACTTCCATCACATGAGCAGAATCAATGGCTCATCTTGTCCCTCTTTTCTCCCACAAAGGCTGGTGAGCTGGTTTAAAAGTTCCAAGCTTGGGCCTGGCGCAGTGGCGCAGTGGCGCAGTGGTTAAGGTCCTCGCCTTGCACGCCCGGGATCCCATAAGGGCGTCGGTTCTAATCCTGGCGGCCCCTCTTCCCATCCAGCTCCCTGCTTGTGGCCTGGGAAAGCAGGAGAGGATGGCCCAAAGCTTTGGGACCCTG